TAAAAAAGTATAAATTAATATTATAGTTTGAGTAAATTATAAAAATAAATAATTTTATTTATTTATTATTTATTAGTCATGCTAAATATTTGTGATGATTCTAAGAAATAATTTCTGTCCAAACATCATTAAGTTAGAATGGTTCAATTCTTTCTCTTAGTTAAGCTGAGGCAAAAGATTGACTAAATCGATCAACTATATTTTGTAATTAATAAGAAACATTAGGTTATGAACAAGCTGAAAAATAAATTTAATCTCTAAATCTTTTTTCAATCATACAGAAATTCTTTGTATGTTCATCTGCGGTTGAATACCAAGAAGGTTATCCATCAGTGTAAAATAAAATCATAGTTCTAATAATCAATATATTTAAATACTATGAAAATTCTTAATTTTATATTACTAATTCTTAAGCTAATTTTAGAGCTGGACCAAAATGTGTAAACCATTATCCTTAAAATTATATAAGTGGAATTTATTTATCTATATCTACCTCTTTACAATTGATAACAATTCTGGCAGAAGTACCAAATATAATTACACTTACTTTTACATTCTTTTTATTACTTAGGTATTTAAATTATTCCTAAACACATTTTATAACTGCCTACCAATATTACTTCATTGAAATTGAATCATCTATGATAAATATATAATGAGTTGAATGAGTTTATAAACTCATTGGAATATCGTATTTTTTTAAACAAACTATCTCTTATCTCATTTCTTTTGATAATTATTTACATATTAATTCTCCAATTCCTCCATTCCATATATTCATCATTTTTTATTTATTTTCTTCTATTTTTTATTATGATAATAAATCTTTAAAACTCCAATTTTGAAAATACTATTTGATCTCTCTCCAAGGTTTTAATCTGTTAGTTTCGACTATTTTTAACTCTGCTTCATCAATTATTTCTTCACAAGTAAAAAGAGAAGGATAAGAATTTATAATGATTCTATTCATTCCTTAAAATATAATTGTTAATTACCTCTTAATTAATGCCCATTTTAACATTTATGTTAATGATCTTTACTTTTAAAATTATCGCTGTCACATTTTCTATTGCACATTGGACATGTTTAATTACATCCTCTCATATGAATTTATATGCTATCCAAAATATTTTAGATACTAAATCTCTCTAGCGAAAGCTCTATTCTTTGGTCTCTTAATAATTGAAGTTCAGCTTAAAGACATTCTAAAAATGTGCTTAATTTATATACTGATTTTTGACTTGTAGAATTTACAATTTAATCTTATATTTTTGGAATCAAACAATCATCATAATTGTTTTCAAATATTTAAGGTTTACAAAATTAATCTAAGTTTTCAATTTAATTTCCAAATATGAAATTTAACACTTCTATAAATATTCTTTTTTCCATATTTGCTTAATCTAATTCTTAATCCTTAAAAAGATCCTTCAGTTTTAATTCTTTTATTTTGTAATTATTTGATATTTGCTAATATAATTTCATCAATTTTGTAAGAATTTATTCTAAATAGTCTTAAATTTTGACATTTATTTAATAATTTTTAAATATTTCAGCTTTTATATCTTGAATGTATGATTCAACGTATAATTCTATAAATTTTTTCTAATAAAAAACATATAATTCGATCTATTTGCTAAAATCTTTTTAAACTGTTTCAATTTTTTTCTTTTTTATCAACAATTATTGATCAAGATATTAAATTACTTCAAACGATGTTAACAATTTCTATTCAATATACTATTAAACTTTAGATATATTTTAACAATAAAATTTTCCTATTAGACCTATTTGAATTTATTTTGCTACAAACTTTGCCTTTTGAATACTCATTTCTTATTTTCTTTGTAAAATTTCATCTTCATATAAAATTTTTAGTTACTATTTTTAACTTTTTAATAGTTGTTTTTCTTAATCATAAATTTCCCATTTTTGATAACAAATGAATCTCCAAATTGCAAATATAGAATAGCAATATAGCTTTCTTTCAAAAAGTCTACTTATAGTTATACCATAAAAAGCAAATTAAGAATTAAAGAATTTCAATTCATTTTCAATTTTATTCATTATTCTTAGTATTAAAGATGAATTAATTTAAGTTGTATCTTCTTCTTTCCACATCTAAGAAACAATATTTGATTTCATTATAGATGATTATGAGAAAAGTTCTTGTTTAATTAGGTTATATATGCTTTAACAAAGTTTATCCCAACCATTATTTTCATCCATAATCTTATTAAATTCACTTGGAAATTCTCTTGCAAATGTTTATTCGTCCATCAATTTCGTGTTTTATGAAATTATATATTCAAAATAGTTATATAAACTTGAATTTCTAGGTAATTTATTAGTATAAACACGCTCTTCTTAAATAATTATATAATTTTTTAATTCTTCCGAACCTTTATTCTAAACCAATTCAAAACTTAAATTAATTTTAGGAAAATAACATAATAAGAAATTAATATCTTTTTTCTACAAATCTTGGCGTTTGAAAGTTTATTAGTTAATTTTTAAAGTATTAAAAATTTAAATTAAATATTCAAAAACTATAAGTTTATTTTATGGAAAATTTTCACCTTCCTACAAAGTATTTCTTATTCTTTACTCTTATTACAAATCTAAATCAATTTACAAAGAATTTACCAATCTTAAAAAGTTAAAAATTATTTCTCGCATCTCATTTTAATTTTATATAAGTTGTAATTAATTCTTAAAATCTTATATACTATCCTTTAGATGATTAAAGAAATTTGGATTTTTCAATAACCTTTTAATTATTATTTTCAGCAATATATATAAAAGGATTAATAATGCAATTTTCGGGCATTAGTTCAATCATTTAGTTTATTTTTTAACTAAATATATAAGAATACTCTCTTCCATTTTCTCTTTGTAAAGCAAAAAAAGATTATTTTTAAAATTCTTCTTAAAATATTTACCAAGAAAGTTGTTCTAATAATTATTCTTTTTCTGGATGAGCCTTATTAAATTTTTCTTTATAAAAACCAATATAGTCTAAATAGTTATCAAATTTATATATATAGTTTTTTTAGAATAAATAAATGCTATCAAATAATTATTGTTAAAATTCATTGAAAATTAATTCAATTTAATTATTTGATCCTTCTATGATATTCATCCAAATTTATTCAAATTCTGAATTTCGTTTTTGTTAATTTTATTAAAAAAGAATTAATTTTTCTTTATCACTTAAAATTTATTATACGGCTTCCTCTATTTTTAGATGCAATAATTTTTCTTATAATCTTCTTTCATATTTATAGATTTCTTATTAAATTAATAAAGAACCTTCAAGAGTGTGACTAGTTATTATTTCTGAAAGATGATCTTACATTTTTCGAAGTATCTTTTTAGAAATACCTATAGATTAAGTTTCAATAATAAGTTCTTAAAGTATTTCTTCTTCAATTTATTTTGATTCATCTTTAAATGCACCTTCTATCGTATTTTTAACACTCTTTAAAAAATCTAAATTTTAGATTCCATCCTTATTAATTGACATTTGAATTTTATAAGTTAACTATGATACTTAATGTGATATTTGAATATTTTTTTATTTTAATTTTGAGTGTAAAATTTTATTTAATTTTTCATAGTCTCTTTAATCTTTTAATTCTGCAAACTCAACAACATCAGGAAGTCTTGATACAATCTACCAACATTCTTCAACTTTTTTTGTAAAATGATCCCAACTTAAAAATAATTTTCTTTCATCTAAAAGTTTTTAATGTTTTTATATAAATCTTAAAATTGATTTAATACCAACAGAATATGCATCTTTTGAGTATCCTTCAATTTTTTTTTCTTAATTCCACTCTTTTGATTTTGTTAAACAATTTACATTATTCCATTTCTCTGAAACTGATGCCATTCCTAATAATTCAATTTCATCCTCTTGACAACCTGAAATTTTAGAAAAATCAATTTCTTATTTTGATTCTCTTTTTAAATTTTCAACTATATCTTCAATTTATTTATATAACTTTTTTTTATCATTTGTTTAGCTATTTTAATTAAAACACCAAATAATTTATTTTGAAGTTTATAATTTTTAGTGTTTTCCCAAAGTGAACAAACACATTTCAATCAAATTGTGAAATTCTAAATTAATTTCACCCTTTACATTTAATATTATTATATCACTAATAGAAATAATAAAAAGAGCAAGTCTTTTATCAAATTCTGAATCTTATTAATTTGGATTTTGTAATCCTTCTGAATCTAACAGTAATATATAATCAAATAAATTTTAAAACTATTCTTTATTTGAAATTTTTAATAATTATAAATACATTCCTTTTGTACATCTACCAACACTTGTTAAAAAATGACAACCAAATATTTTATTTAATAAAGTTGATTTTCCTGAACTTTATGGTCCTAAAATGCTAATTACTAATATTTTATTCTCTTATTCTTTTATTAATAAAGAACCTAATTGTCGTAAAAAGTTAAAATTAATACTAAGATCATCACCATTTAAAAATTCAAAAGGTTCCCCTTTTTATATTAATTTTACAATTGTTTATGTATAATTTAAGATTTAATAAAAATTTCCTTATATTATTTCTCTCCAAAACAATTCAATACTAATGTTTTTGAATTTTAAGTTGTCTTACAATATTTAAATTTCTTTTTCTTAGATTTCTTATTATTGTTAATTATGTTTTTCTTAATCTTCTCTTTATTGTTAATCATGTTTTTCTTATTCCTTTAACTTTTTTATTTAATCCTCAATAGATGAAATGTTAATTTAATTAAATTTGGCAATACTTTCAACTATCTATAAATATCCAATATAAAAATTATCTAACTTAAATATAGAACTAAATATTTAAAGTAAATTAGATTAATTAAAATTTATATTTTTCATTTTCTATTCGAACTCAAATGTTAATTAATTTATTTTCTCTTTTTCTTAATTAAGAGAATTTAATTTGTTTAAAATATCTTCTTTTTCTTTTTTTTTATCATTGAAGTTTGTTTATAATTTTAAATCATCTTAGGAATTCTATTTTTTAAATTCATAAATTGATCTTTCTTTTTAATCTAACATTTATTGATTCTATTTAATTTATAAATCAATTTTGATCTTTTACTATTGCAATTGTTAAAGATTCCATTCTGTTGATCTTAAAGGAAATGCTTTCCCACTATAAAATCCTTCTTTTTCAGATTATATTTTATTTAATTCTATTTCTAGTTCATCTACAATTTTTTAAACCTAATGAATTTCTTCAACCTTCATTCCAAAATTTTAACAAACTTAAAGAAATTATAATTTTAATTAAGATTCTTCAATATTTTCATTTTCTTTTCCTATAATTTCTAATAATATATTTCTTATTTTATTTATTTCTCCTTCTTATTTTTATTTATCCATCTATTAAAGATTACTTAATAAGCAAACTTTAACTTATTGAGCATCAATTTTTTAGATTTCATCCTAAATAATTTTTTCTGTTTGAGAATCTCGTATAATAAAACAAATAAAAGGTTTAATATTTATTTATTTTAATAGTTTATTGACTCTATAAATATTTTCAACTAATTCTTTTTCAGATTTCATTTAAATTATCCATAATTTAAAAAAAGGAAGTATTAATTATAATACATCATCTTCAAATTAACCATGTGTGTCAGCTATTAAATAATTTCTGCTACCATTAAAAGAAAAGTCAAAATTACAATCTATTGTATTTTTATTTATCAAAGAGGAATCACAAATTTCAAATTTATCATCTTTGTAAAATATTTTATTGAGTAACTAAGTTTTCCCTATTCTTTATTGTATTCTACTTAATGAACAATTTATTATAGTAAAATCTTGTTACAAAAGATAGTAAATATCTTGGTTAAATTTATATAAATCTAAATTTTATAAAGGATTATCAAGTTAAGAGTTTTTATAAATAAAAGGAATAGGGTAGTTTTTTGAATGTTATTTGATTAAAATAACTTTTAATTCTTTATTTGAGTTGTTAAATAATATTTAAAATAAGGATTTAATATTAAAACAATCAATTCCATTTTTAATTATTTCATTTCTATTTTATGTAATTAAATCTAAGAAGTCTTACCATGGTTCACCTCTTCTTATGATATGAAAAAAAAAAAGGAAGTAAATTTCTAAACTTTTAATCTTTTTTCATATCATTTAACCATTCTAAAATTTTTTATTAAGTAATTTATATATTTTCTTATGTAAGTGAAATATTAAATTCTTCAAGTATTATGTTTAAGTTTAGAGGTTATTTATTAAATAATTCAATTTATTCTAGCCAACTTTTAATTTTGAGAGGCTTGTTTGTTACTTCTTATTTTATATAAGTTTAAGAATAAAGGTAATTTAAAATATTTAAAAATAAACATTAATCTTTATCACTGGGAGTAGAAATTTTTTCTAAAAATACTTTTTTTAATTTATTTTTGACATCCAATAAATTTCCATTAATCTTAAAACATTCTTTAAGAATCTATTGTGTAGATATAGTAAAAGGAGTAGTTGACACAAATTAAATAAAAGTTAATTCAATTTTTGTTAATTGTTTCAAATTTTTCAATTGATAAAATTTTAAAAAATTTATATAATTTTATTATGTTTAAACATCAGATTCATTTATAAAGTTTTCTAATGTTTAAAATTTAAAATTTTCATATTTTAATTTTTAAATTTTCAGTTTAACTTGATATTAGTTATAATTCTCAATAAATTTTTTATCTTCTAATTGATTAAAATACACAAATTTATGAATTAAATTTTGAAAAATTAAATCTTATAAACTTTTTTTTATCTCTTTGAATTCTCTTTCCATAGTGGGGAGTTTATTTTTAGATCTTAATAATTTTTTCTCATAAAAATTTTTTAAGGTCTCTCTTAATTAAAATTTTTCTGTATATCTAACCCAAAAGTAAATCACTAATTTAAAATATAAGAAATCAACTTGCCAATTGAAATTTTCTGTAAATAAAAAATATTGTATAATTTAATTTTCATCATTACCTTAAATATTAAAATTTGTAAGATGTTCTAAAAATTCAATTATTGTTATATGATTATAAGTTTAAATATCAATTGTAAGTAGATCAAATAGTTAAAATATATTTTTATTGTTTTTACTTTAACTAAAACTTTGCCTTGATTGTTAAGAAGTCTCTTCTTTAAGTTATACTTTTCCCAATTTTTCAATTACTAATTAAAACTCTTAATTATATGTTTCTTTAAAAGTATCAATATAATTTTCAAATTCATATATTTATGTTAATAAACATGAGCCAACAAATTAATGAATTCTTTTATCATTTAAATAAAAAAGTCTTAATAAAAGTTCTAAATTCTAAATGAAAGAATATGATATTATATTTTTTTAAACTTGAAAAAGGTCAAATATAAGTTGAACATTTTCCCCTAAATTTTTTAAAGAATCAATATACTCTTTTATTTCTAAAGGTATCCCATTTATTTCACAAAACTAAGGATCTTTAATTGCTTAAAAAATTTTATTGTAGTTCTTTTACAATAAAGCTTCATTATATAATTTTTTTAAGTCTATTTATTCACCAGGCTTGTTATTGACTATATTATTGTTAACTTAAAATTATGATAAATTTAAAAAAGTTCTTCCTTTTAATTTATCATGCATTTAATTTAAAAATTCAATTCTTAAATCGCCTTCAAAATTATTCAGTTTTTCCTCTATCGATTATTAAATTTCATTATCATTTTCTAAAATACCTTCATCAATCTCTTCTTATAAGTTTTTGAAAAAATTTGTGATTTCCTCTTTAGGATCGCTAGATTATTAGATCATTTTTAATAGAAAAACAAAATTATTTTAAATATTTTTTTAAAGAAAAATAAATAATTATTATAGAAAATTTAGAATAAATCAACTAAATCTACAATTCGCAATAATAAAAACTTTTATTGATTCTAAAATTATTAGTAAAGAACAAGTTATCCATTAAAAATGATTTTAATTTTCATTATAGATATAATTAATTGCTACCTAATTTAATTTATTCTAAGGTGTAGGAAATTTATAACTAAAGCAAATGCCCTATAAAAGATTAAATGACTATTATCATTAATCTATTTTACAAAATATTGGAATCAAATAAATTAGCTGTAGATAAGGCTAAGATTAGAAATTTCCATTTTCCTCAGAGTTCAGATGAAATTGATTTAATGGAAAGTTTAGCATTTAGGTATAAAAAAATAAAGTCATAAAGAGATGAAGGTTGAATCCAAAATAATTTTTTAGTAGACAAATCATGAAATTCACGAAAAAATAAAATATAAGAAGAGATGTTCTAATGAATCTTATTATCTTTAAATAATAAATTTAAATGTTAGAAGGAATAAATTTAGATAATTGGGATGCTTTAAAAATCGTTTATTTAGAATATTAAGAATTATTTAGTTAAAGTAAATAAAACTTAGAGGATTAATGAGAAGAAGTCTCTTTGATAGCAAAGAAATTAATAATATCAATTTATAGAGGATTAGTAGGAGAATCAAAGACTTAAGTAAGGGCTAAAGTACAAGCATTAGAATCAGTTCGTCAATAAAGAGCATTTTCCAGTAGTAGTTTCTGCAGTTGTAGTTTCAGTCCATACACAAATATAAGAATTACAAACAATTTTGTTATTGTTATTGTATGTTGATACAATTAGTACCATTAAAAAGACAATTAATAACTCCTTAACATGCTTATGCTGTTGAACCCTTTGGAATATCTGAGCAAATTTTTTAATTCTGTAACTTTCTTAAGGTTCTGCTGCAACTCAGGGGCAAGTTCCTTCACTTCCACTAGCAATATTACAAAGCAAGCACCAAATGAACTTTTAACAAGGCACTTAACCCCATCAGTTCTACAAGTCTTCAATCTGGATGGGCATTCTGCTTATGTTGTAAATGTAAGATCTAAACATTTTTATCTTTGCATTATTTTGCTGTTTTATTCTATATATGTATACTTGTTGATGTAATATCACCATCCTTATTTCTGTAGCATTAATTTTATATATCTGTAGAATTAGCAGCTAATGGAATACTACCAGTAGAATAATCTGATATACAATTTGGATTTGCTGAATTACATTCTAAATGACTTAAATAATAAGTATCTTTACATAAAATGAATTATTTACAAATAGTATCATTAGCTTCTTTAGCAGATACTGTTTAGATAAATTCTCCATTTGTTCCTATCTTTCAACCTCCTTTAACATTTGTACCTGTACACACTTATAATCTCAACACATTTAGTTCTATTAGTAGTACAATTTAATGAAATTCATTTACAACTTTCATCTTTGAATGAATCATAAGTGATAAAAGCTTCAAGAGAATTATCAGCATTTACATATTTAGCAATCCATAAGCAAGGACCTTTCGTCTCCTTCAATACAGGGAGATGGAACTTTAATATCTTAATATTCAGCATATTTTCTATTTAATCCAGCTGTGCATCCTTATCTTTATTTATTGTGAGCAGCATTAGTTGCTTCTGTAAAATCTTTGCATTTTTTTAATCTACAACCACTAGTTTCAGTATCCCACCAACAATAAAATATTTAGAACCATCACAAAAATATGAATTTCCTTCTGTTTTAACATTTCATCAATCATTCATTTTGATCTATCGTTAAAGGTTAATTATCCCCATTTTCATTTATTCAATTTCAGAATTGCCAGAACAATTTAATGGAACTTCGATGCAACCAGCATTATCGTTTTCCAACAACACATCTTTTAATATAAGTATCAAAATCATTACTATTATTTTAATAATGTTATATGCATATTTCATAAAAATAAAAATATTGTTAAACATTTAAGAAATTAGGTTATCTTTTTTAACCTTACAAAATGCCCCGGACAAAAAATTGAGAAACAAATTCTTAAAGCTTCAAGTAGTCAAAAAATTTTTAAATATGAATCAAGTCATATAAATTTTATGATTTGATCTCTATTTCTTTTCCCTTTTATATTTCTAAATTTTTTATATTTTAAGAGCAAATAACTCATTAAATTAAGAGAACCAAAAATTGAGGTAAACTTAAGTACAAATTATCTAATTGCTTAAGGATGTAAATCAGACATTAATATAAAGTTTTCTCCTCATTAATATTAAAAAAAAAAGAATTAATAGTCAATCAAAAAAATAAATAAAGGACAATTGTTTCGAAGAATAATATTAAGAAGAAAAAAAAAAATATTGATTTTATCTTAACAAGACCATAATAATTGTTTATTTATTTAAATTCTAAATATAAAATTTATTTCTATTTCTTCTCTAATTATATTAATCACAATATATAGAGAGGACAAGCTATTTGAGTAATCAAATTTCAATGTAGAGAGTCAAGTTAAATTAGAATATAGAAAGAAGAATAATTTTTCAAATGTTTTTAATTAATATTAAAATTTGTTTAATGTCTTATAAATATATACATTATTTATTTTTATTAATAATGAAAGAATAATTGGTAGATTTATAAATAATGAAAGAATAATTGGTAGATTTATAAATAATGAAAGAATAATTGGTAGCTTTATAAATGATAAAAAATAATTACTTGTTTTATAATAAAATATTCACATTAAAATAAGATATAAAAAATATTCTAATGGATCAATCAAACTAACTAAATTATTTCAAGCTTCCATTCATGTAGAAGGAAGAAAAAGGAATGTTAATTTCAATTTTAGATTGTTCTGGGTCAATGAGCAGCTATTGGAAATATGTAGCTTAATATTATAATGAATTAAAGACAAAGGCTTAAATGTCAATAGCAATTACTTTTGACACAAACATAAAATTTTGAACCCAAATGAAAATATTTCTCCTAATATTAATTAATATGGTGGAGGAGGTACAGATATTACTCGTGCATTTGTTGTTTGAATTAAGAGATTCTTAAATAAAATATAACAAAAGATTTAACAGTTTTTTTTGTTTCTGATGGAGAGGGAAGTTATGATGAGAGAGCAATCAAATAGAATATGCCAAAAGTAGAGAATCTAAATTTTATTTGTGTTGGAGTAGGTAATGGATTTTCAACTCACATTTCAATGAGTCTTAAATCTCTCTATCATACAGGAAATTTATAAATAGCTCCTGTATTCATAGTCGATGTTCATAATTAAACTAATTAGAATAGAGAATAATATTTGAATTAAATATTTTAAGAAGAATTTGAATCTGTAGGTAATATTTTGGTACCAAGAACTAATGTGAAACAACACCTGTCTAAAGTTTTCCATGGAATTAAGAGCTAACAACAAAGGTTTGGTCAGGTGGTTGGGTTGCCAGTCACAACCATGAAATCACTTGTGATGGAACACTAATTAGATCAGAAAATCCTTCTGGTGATCTGATATTAGAATTGGCTTCTTACTGGTTATAGAACATTTAATTACTTTCATTGAAAGCAAAAGTAAAATAAGAAGCCCAAATAGCACTCTCAGAATTAGAGAGATTATCAAATTCTATACCAAAATTACAAAATTAAAAGAAATAAAAGACATTTGCTCAAAGAATATAAGGAGCATCTTAATCTGAAAATACAGGACTTTTGAATTTGTTGCTTAATTAAAATAGTTCACAAGAGATTTCTAATTAAATTAATTGAATGATAAAGATGCAGCTGATAGATTGAAAATTGGAAATAAAATTGGTAAATTTCACAATAGAGCCATTAAATTTGCAGGATTATCAACAGAAGAGTTTTAAACCGCTAAAAACTAATTCATAGAATGTCTTAAATAACAAAAATTTCAAGTTAAAAAAGGTGATAGATCTCTTATAACATTATAAAGCTAAAGGGAAATATTATTAGAAGAAGATTTAATCTAAGGATTAGAAAATTGTTCATCATACTATTAATTGGTTACTGCATTTCCAATTATTGTTGTGGATTGTAAGTTTAAAGATCAAATGCAAGTATGATCGATCCATATAAAATTGAAATCGTATCTCTTGTTAAAATCCATAAATTTTTAGATTCTGTATTCTTTAATCGAATAAAAGACCATGAATTAAGGTTTTCAATTGGAAATGGAGAAGAAGAATTTGTAAATTGTATTCTTCCATTATATACATAAAAAGATGTAGATCTTAAACCATTTTTCAGATCAAAATTATTTCTCACCATAATGACATTTGTAGTTTGTGAAAATGCAGATGTATGTTTTGAAAATGCTTATGAGGCTTTATTAGCCAACACTCTTTATTTTTTGATGAAATAACCCCAATCTGATTGGACTAAGGAAATTATAAGTTTAATAAATTAGTCATATTGTTTGTCTTATGCCGAAGGCTTCACAAAACAATTAATTAATAACCCAATCTAAACTTTGGTTAATCTAGATTAATAAACTTCATGTTAAGATACCATCAAGGCTTTACTTGCTCTTTCATCAGAAAAAGATAAATTATAATAATAATAAATTAAACATGTAATTGATAGATTTATAATTGAAACAATAGGAAGAAATCTCAAAAATAGGAATCTCGAATCTCTTATCAATCTCTTTGTTGACTTAGATGAAAATTAAATGCTTGATACTATAAGTTTTAGAATAATTGATCAAATCTTTCAGCAAGAAAATAAAAATATTCCTGCAATGAGAGAACAAATTTAGAATGATGCATAAAGTGTTAAAACAGAATATTGGTAAATAAAAATAAGATTCAAGCAGAAGGAAGCAATCAATTTATTAAAATAAACTAGATTTACATATGACAATTTGTAATGTATTTATTAATATTTTTTACTTGAAGAGATGTAGAAAAACTTATTTATTGCAGCCTTATTTCATGCTAGATATTAGAAATCAACCAAAAGAGCAAATAAGGTATTTATTTTTGATTTTGATTAACTAACTAAAGAGATTCTAAATATTAAACATGAATTCTTAATAGAAAAATTGTAAAAACAATGTCAAATGGAATTTTTTAATTAAGCAGAAAAACAGGGATTTTTAAATTTACTTGTTTAAGCAAAGCCTTAATCTAATTAGGTAGAAGATGAAGTGCTATAGGAATTGTTAATCTGGTTAATTTTTGAGAATCCAGGATTTTTAATTAATTATGATCAATTTTTTTTTTTTTTTATTANTTATATTATATTATATTATATTATATTATATTATATTATATTATATCACAAAATTTTTTTTTTTTCAAATTGACAACTATGATTTGTCATAAATAATACCTGCTATCTAAAGAAAAAAAATTCACCAATCGAGATCTTACTAGTTACCTATGATACCACTAAAATTATTTTGAGTAGTTTTTAAATCATCTTTGAAAAAAATTTGACTAAATATTATTCCATTCGAGTATAAATAAATTATTGATTAGAAATTCTAATATTAAATTTGTTTTTGCAGACATTAATAAATAATTGATAATATATTCTTCTACTATTAATAAAAGAAAAATAAATCTATCTAAATTTAATTAGTTAATTTTTTATTAATTTTCAATTATTAGCAAACGAACCAATCATTATTTAATTACAATTGATTCAACTTCATAAATAAGTAAATTTTCCAATAATAGTTTGAATTCATTTTTCTATTATTTTCTTATAATAACTTGAAGGAATTAGTTATTAATTTTTAAAAGCAACTTATATAAACTTCTTCAATATTTCTAGCTTTTTATTAAGTTGTCTAATTCTAAATATGAAAATCTAAGTGTTAATAATCCTATTTATAAAAATTTGGTTATATAAAGAAAATAAAATCTAAAATTCTACAATAAATGATAAATATTAATTTTATTAAGATAAGAAAATTTAATGTTAAACCTTCTATTCTATGGTTTAGGAATAATAATAATAATTTTACTTGGGTTTTCTCTATGCAAACACTATTTAAATTAAAAAAAAAAAGAATTTGAATAAAACAATAAAAGTTATAATGATTAGGTATTGGAGGAGGAAAGTGATAATTGTTAACCAAATGAAATCAAGTCGTTTCAAATTTAAACTTTTTAAAAAGCCTTTAATTAGAATATCTATTAGTTTAAAAAAAATACTAGCTAGATAAGTTAAAAATCTTAACAATCTTCCAAAATATTCTAAAATTCATCAATATTATCCATTAAAAATATTCCTTTATTTTCAGCAGATGATAAGAGAACTGAGTAGGTTTAACAAATTATTAATTACTTATATGATAAAAGTTGTAGAAAAAGAAATATTGAAGAAAAATTTAAATATTTTTTAGGTCATTTTATCGATTTTTAAAATCTATGTAAAGAGTACAATATTAAAAAACTTGAGATCAAATAAAAATTAAAGTAGTTATGTTCATCTTATCTCAATGTTCGAGGAGATGGCAATTGTTTTTATACTGCTTTTGGTTATTAATTTTTAGAAATTTTATTATTTAAATATAAAAATGACGAATTTTAAAATTTTATAAAGACTATTTTATTTGAAATTAAATTGCCTTTTTAGATTAATTTAATAGATTAAACTAATATCAATTAAAATTAGGATGAGTAACTAAGAAAAGAATTTATTTTTAGATTGGAAAAACTTAAATCAATTTAAAACGTTGATACAAGAAGAAAAATGTTATATAATGCATATAAAGCACATGAAAAAGAAGATGAAGAATACGATGGTTGTTTCTATGGTTTATCAACAATATTTTTTAGAAATATATCAATTCACGCTCTTGATTAAAATGAACTTAAAAACATGGTGACCGATAGGGAAAATTTATTAATATGGGAAACAGAATGCAATAATAATGAAATTGTAATCTAATCTTTATCAAATTTTTTGAAACTGTAATTTTAAATCATAAACTATAATTAGATATATATAACTTATTTTCTTTACAAACGAAAGTTTCTAAATGAGAGAATATGGTACTACAAATGTACATAAAATAATATTACTTATCAGACCAGGTCATTATAATATTGGAATTGCCCCTGAATGAATTAGATACTTATTTTTGATAAATATGCTTATTTATTTTTGTGATAAACCTTTTAAGAAAATACCTGTAAATATCATTCAAAAAATTTAAAAATTAAAATTTTTCTTATACTCTTTTAATTAGAACTTGCTTTTGAATTGATCTAAAGATAAGAGTCTTCTGCTTTTTTTTAAAGTAGGTTACATTGGTTTCAAATAGTTGACTCCATTAATTTTGTGCTTCTTTATTCTTTTAGTTTATCTGCTTTGCCATTATTATGAATTTGTCATTTCTAACCGCATTCAACAAGTTTTAACATAATGATGTAGAATATAGCAGTGCAGGAGAATGAAGTAATTACTGAACTTTTTTATTGTTAATAATTCCCATAAAAATACAAAAAATGAAAAAAAATGATTAATACATTTTTAACTTAAGGAAGAATGAGAATAATTATTAAATGACTGTGGGATTTATTATCTAACTTTCCCTTATTCCAGAGTTCTTCCTTTTCTTTTCATCAGATATTTCAACTTGAAAAGCCACAGAAAAGAATGGAATTATAAAGATTGAATAATAATGATAATGATATTAAATCATATATCATAATAGGATAATTATTTAATTTATGAGATAAATTAAAAATCGATATGAATATCTTTTTTATCAAAGCGGAGATCTAAAAACTTAAAATACAATATTGATGATTTTTAACAGTATAAAAATAAACTTATTAATGTGAAACCTTTTCACAGTCAAACAAATAAATTGAGAAAAGAAGGAGAAAATCTTTAAATTAATCCAAAAATGCAATAAGAAATAGTCAAATAAACTCTAAAAGTATTTTAAAGGAATAAGATATTCTCTAACACTAAAATATATTTTTGGCAATTTTTACCATGCTTCTCATAATTTGATATAATTTTCTCAATATTTATTTCAAATTCTTTATTCATAAGTCAGAATCCTTTAGAGTGATATAATTAACAATTTGAACATCTTTCAAAAAAAGAGATTGAAGTTCCTGAGATTGTTAAGGTTATGCAAAGGTCATCAATTATGTATTCAATAAAATGGGAAAGTGCATTTAGAATTTTTGTAAATGCATTTTGAGTTAATCTCATATCCTTATTAAAAAAGTGGATTCCTTTTTTATTTAGTTGGCTTCTTTAATAGAATCAATAAATAATATTTTGAATTAAATACTAAAAGCAAACGAGTTATAATTTAATGAAGAATTAATAAAGAATCTTATTGATGATATAAAAAATGACCAAGTAAATATTGTTCTCCTAATTTATTGATTAGATAAAATTAAACATAAAATTCAAAAAATAAATTTAATACAAAATAATAGATTATTCTAGAAAAAATTAAGTAATGAAGTAACGATAGATTACTTTAATTTTAATAATATCAGTTTATAAGGTGCAAAATGAACTTAAACACCTTGGAATTATGTAATAGTTTTCAAAGAATAAAATTCAGAATAATTGTATTATTATATTGCATTCTAGGCAAATAGTAAACTTCTAATTTATTGGGGCAAATTTTAAGTTAATCTATGGAATTTATAAATTCTAAAATTACCGATAAGAATAAATTATCATTTTAAGTTTAGATCTTGTGTTTTTTCATCAGATTCAACTAAATTGTTATTAATCTTTTATTTGTTTACCAGATATAAATTAGAAATATTTAATTATTCACCTGAATTCTCACTTCTAAACACATTTAGTATTGGAATGTACTATTAGGAACTAAAGATGGATAAATACTTTTGTGGAACAATGGATTTTTGAAAAAAAACTCGAAAATGATTGTTAAAGTGCTATTTTATCACAAACATCAACATAAAGAATGGTAATTTCTGAATTGAAAATCAAGCAATAAAAATACTTTTTATTATCTATTGAAGATTAAGTATTTCTATGGCTTGATTCTGATTATACATATGAATAAGTCAAAGCATTAACGACAAATAAGATTAATATTAATTAGGAAGATATTTTAATTTGAATATCGTTGATTTAGTCTTAATAATAAATGTATAGATAATCTTCTATGGTCTGAAAAAGAAATGAATATATGATATTCTATGGTCTTAGTAAGATCAATTAAATTAAAAAAGACAGAAATTTAGAAATTCTAAATGAATAGCAGTTTAAGAGAAGAAGTGTACATTCTTAAGGTATTTAGTTTGGAAAGATTAATTAATTTATTGCTAAAGATAATTTTATGAGGTTTATGAGAATCTTTCAACCTTTTAGGCTAAGATTCCATTTAAGAATATTTAACCTTTGTCTATTCATTATTGTTCACCTTCCCAACTATATGATTATTTGTAGAAGCAGAAAATATGGATCGAATGAATTAATTGGATCTCTAAATGAATCTTTCTTATAAAATTCATATACACAAATTAATAATAAAGAACAAAAAATGATATAAAAATTAGTGTTTAAGAAAATAAGAAACATATAAATATTTCTGAAGTATTATTACGGAGAAATAAAACAAAATTTGATTTTAATAAAAAACTGTTTAAAAGATTCAAAAATAGGTTGTTTTGCTTTATTTGGCAATGGAAATAAAATTTGTTTAGGTGTTGACAATCTTATTTAGATTAGAGTTTTAGAAATTATTAAATAATCACTTTAGAAAAAAATACATAAAAAGATGATATCTATCAAATTATAAATTATTTAATAACTTTTAATTAAAAATTAATTTCGGATAAACAAAATATAATACTTATAAATTAATTGATGAATATAATCTAAATTTTTGTGATGAATCAACTTTAACTAATAAAATGGCTTTTCTCACTACCATCCTTTAACATTAAAAACAACAAAAATTTTTAATCAACAATGTTTTATTTCTGAATTAAAAGTAGAAATTCAAAAGATATATATGATACAAATCTTAAGATAAATATCTAAAATTTTCATCATGATGGCACTTTTGTCAATGAAACAAAATTTCGTTACGTATCAAAAGAAGATTATTAAATTTCTATATGGAATTTGAAAAATAAGAGAAATTAATAAGAGTTTAAAAAATATGATTCGAAATTATTTTTATTTGTATTTCTAAAGATGAAAAATTTATGATTTCCTAGAAATATTAATATTTAAGATCCCTTTGCATATAATTATCTCAATATGGTTTATTAAGAAAAATAATTATTAAAATACAATCAATCTTGGAAATTAAAGTTTAGCGTGATGGTGAACTTTTCCTTTATGATTTGATAGATTTCAACATTTATTAATTAAAATAGACAAACTGTTTTTAGGTTCACTTAATAGTGACAGCTATTACAAAAAAAATTGATAAAAATATGATTCTTTTTGTGTTGGCAAAGATTAAAAAAACTATGTTCATTTCTATTCTAAAGATAAAAATCTTCTACAAATATATAAAGCTAAAAGTTGGTGCAAATCCTATTCATGAAATTTTCATTTATCATTTTTTGGATTATTTTACCTCTAACTTTGATGATACCTTAATCCAATTACAGTTAGTGAAATTTTAATTTTACATAAGATTGGGCTTTATAAGAATTTGATGTATTTGTTAATATTTGACTAAATTAGAAGGTTTATGCTGTAAATTATGTAGGTAAAAATAAATAACCTATTATTACAACATGATTGATTTAGAATTTTTAAAAAAATAAGTAAAACTCACAAAGTTGAATATTTTATAGACAAAATTTACTTTGAAAAATTTAATAATGAAAATTGATATAACTTAAAATTCTGAAAACAACATCATATCATTTTGGAATTTTTAAAATAAATCATTATTGATTTAATAAATCAAAATCGAATTCAATATTTTATTCTTAATTGTCTCTCCTAGTTTATTTAACATAGCATTAGATTAGACAGAAAATAAGTCTAACAACTGATAAATTTAAATGTTATTATTAAAATTAAATTACAAAGTTTAATAATAGTTATTATAGTTTAGTAAATCGATTGTTAGAAATCCTATCCATAATTACAAAAACTCATGACATAAAATTGCATCATTATAAATTCAGTCATTGAAAATTACAATAATAAATCATTGATTCATCATTTTGATAAAAAAATAGAGCAAGAATTTTAATCTCTAGCAATTTTAGATGAATTACCAAACGAATACCAAATGAAAAATTAAAAAACATAAAATGATATTTATATTTTAAAAAATATTTTTACATAGTCCATTTTTTTGTTTAGGATTAGTTATTTATTTTATCATATAATTCGAATATAAGAAATAATAGAACCTGAAGCAAATTAAATGAAAAAAAAATTTCATCAAAGAGCCGATCTTTAAGGAAAAATTAAGGGTAATCTAGTTAAAAAAAAAATATAAACTAATTGAAAAAGAAAAAGATGAATAGTATATAATTAAAATACAGTTCTCAAGACTATTGTGTCATAAAAGGGGTCTCATTTTAATAAAAAATAATTCTTCTAGCTATCTTTCATCGATATCAAATTTAGGTAAAATATAATTAATAGATTCAATATATATCTTTTGATATCTTATGTGCATCTTCTTCTAGATAAAAAGACGTATTGGTTTTAGAAATAAATATGTTTTTTTATTTGTTTTTTCTGTACTCTTATTGTAAAAGAATAATGCTAAATGATAATATATATAGAAACAACATCAAATTAAATACCTAAGCGACAGAGAAATAAAAAAATATGCAAAATTCTTTTTCCTATTTTCCTTTAAAAATATTAATAAATCAATATAATTGCATCTGATATTTCTTAAATTTCCTGAGTGAAAATGATTTTGGTGGGCCAATAAAGTTTAGAATTACCAGAGATGTTTTGAAAATAAAAATATAGTTTCTTTGATTTTAACCTAATTTTTTTTCTTTCTAAATTCTATATTTAATATGCTCAATATAAAAGTTTAATAATGATATTTATAGTAACTTTGTTTCATATTTTTCCTTTAAATAAATAATTTAATTTATTTCGCTCTTCTTAAAGCTATAAGATATGAATGCAAATCGATTTAGAAAATAAAGAATTTCAGAAAATTGTTATAATTATATATCTTTTTAATATTAAATGTAAATTTATATCAGCTATTAGATTTTTTTCAAATGTTTGCCTTCTAAAATAAACCTTCAAATTCTTGAATGGATTCATTTTTAATAATAGAATAATCAACTCCTTACTTGAATAAATAATTTATTGCTTTGTTAAATATTAATTACCATTAACTTTAGGAGCTTTTACAAAATATTTCCAAATAAAAGAGTGAGATCACTGTTTACCAAATATAATCTTATAGATTTTATTTATTAGTTAACTATTGCAAGCTTAGCTTATCTTTAATGTTTTATGTTAAAAGAAAACTGCCATTTGCTTAAACACAGTCAATCAATTCAATATGGGATAAAATCAACTCATATTTTTTTTGTTTTTCCTTATCATTTACTGAAGAGATTTCTTAGTAATTATCGTTTACTTAAGGAATTAAATATTAATTAAAATTTTGATCTATTTCTAATTCTTGATCATTGGCACACATACATACAGTTTCTTACATAAGATTTTAATCTGAGCGAAAAGATTAAAAAAAGTTCGCAATTTTTTAAGTAATACTAGTTTAAATTCTTGGGTTCTCTTCATTTTTTACAACTACATGCTTATTCTTGATCAATTATTTGATATTCGATTCATTTTAGCAGACTTCACAAATAAATGCTGTTTTTGAACATAAAATTTGATTTTAAATTGATAAATTGATTATATCTTTATCAGTTATGTATTTTTAATCTAATTTTACCATATTAATTTGTTATTCATCAAATTTTATTGATTTCTCATAATAGCCAATTAGTTTATGAGCGGCCAATTTATGAAAATACTCACTCTCTTAGGATTGATTTAACTTTAATTTGGTTTAAAATTAAATTTATTTATTTGTTTATGGATCATAACAATCAATCTTAAATTCTAAATTTTCTTATTTACATTTTTTTGAAAAGAGAATTTATATTGTTAATTCTTAATTTTTCTTCAATAAATTTATTGATTTTGGATCAGGTATGATTTATGAAACATTTTCAACATTATGAGTAAGTTGAAATCCCTTTAAATAACAAGTTAAAGAATCCTCTAATAAATCAATAACTTTTGAATTAATTTCTTCATCATCCCCTACTAATTAACATTTTCCATTTCCAACATCTGCTAACTTTTTGACTAAATACTCACTACAACCATTTCCAATTCCAAGTGTATATATTCTAGTTTCAGTCTTTTAATTTTTAAGAACCAAATCAATAATCCGTTCTGGTGAATCCTCTCCATCAGTTAGTAAAAAAACATTAAGAGTTTCTGTTGAATTTTTCTTCATTAAATAATTATCACTATAAATGGCAATTTACAAGGCATTATAAATATCAGTTCCGCCATAATCTGCTTCCATATCTTAAACTTACTTTATGGCTTATTCTAATGATTATTAATTATATGATTGTGATATATCAAACATTTTTTATGCTTTACTACCAAAGGAGATAATATTGAAAAAACTATCTTCAGGAAGACTCTTTAAAAATAGAATCAAAGATTATTTTGCTTTTTTAATTCTTCCATATTGCATTGAACCACTTCTATCAATAATAAATATATATATGCCTCTTTAGATTTTTGATTATTATGGTAAATTTAAACCATTTAAGTATGATTAATATGCATCATCTATTGGATATTAATTAAATTTAGGGATTAAAGTCAAAGTAGCACAATACTTAATTTTTTGTAAAGCATCGTTATTAGTATGACTTAAAAGAGCATGAGGTTTGTTTATGTTAACTGAAGAGAATAATAATTCAAACTTTTTAGTTGGTAGCATAGTATCTTCATCTGGAGTAATAATCACTTAATTCTCTTAACCTTTAACATTACTTTATTTTACATTTATCAAGTGTGTTGGAGAATTCGCATAAGTGAGAGGTTCTTCAATATTAATTATAACAGTAATATGTTATTTATAATTAAATTTAAATGCTTAAATATTAACAAGTTTCATGACTGATAAATATTGTTGAGCATAATCCTTATTAATACCTTATAATTAATATGCTGTTAAAAAGCTTGCATTTATCATTGGTGGCAATTCTAATTTCCAAAACTAATTTAAAAACACTTATAAAGGTTAAATGTATTCAAATAAAATTTTTAATTATACTCCAGACTTCAAACATCCAATTTTTACTCTCTTTATATTTAATATTTTAGAATCTTATTCATTTAAAACCATAGTTTTTCCATCTTCTATTCCTTATTTGTATTATTATCTTGCTTCTTCTAATTCTTTAATTAATCCAAACATTCTTTAATCTCCAAGTTCAACTATCATCTAACTAACTGCAGAATTTTATTCAATAGTATATAAGTATTCTAACTCACTTTATTATTTGTTTTCTTCAGTAAAGTAGGTTTATGAAATTTAAACAATCGCTAAACCTGGTTATATTTTTACTAAGTAACTCACTTATTTTAATTCTATAGGTAATTTTGTTTAAACATCATAACATATTTATAAAGGTAGTACTTAATCTGACCAAAAAGCTCTATTATTTTTTTGTTCTGGTAAATTTAATTTAGGATTATACATTTATGCTATGTTAAATTCAATAATAAATAAAAGCAATTTTCACTTATAATTAAGAATTAAAACTTTTTCTGGCCAAATCTAATATTTTCCTCTTAGCTTTTTGAGTGTTGATATTAACTCCATTAAATCTAAATAATGAATTGATTTGTATTTATAATTATTAAAATTTTCATATCAGTGGCTAGTATACAAAATTGCTCTACTCAAGGTTTAAATTTCATCTTTATTTGCTATATCCATCCCAAAAACTTATTCAAATACTGTTTCTACTTAAATATATTTATACCACCCTTGAAAAAGAAATAAAAGTTTTTCATTATTAAAATAGCTACTTTTTTTGTTTGATAAATTTTCAAAATTGGTCTATTGAGCATCTATAATAGTTTTATCTTTCACATTGCTTTGAATAAAATAGAAAGAGTGCCTTTGCAATTTTCCTAATGTTTATATTAAAAATAGGTAGATCGAACAATTTATAATATACATCTTTTAGTTTTAAGACAATCTAAATCTCAAATTCAAGCCTTCTTTACTTTGATTAGAATCAGAATCATAATTGTAGAAAAAAAATTCGCTCACATCCAAAGTTTATGTATTAATGGGAAGAATATAAAATATGATTATTCATATTTTCATAAATGAGATGTGTATTTATATTATTATCAAGCTCTTTACAGAAAAAAAATGGAGTGAAAGGTTAGAGTTTATTTTTTGGGATACAATATATTATTTAAAATATAAATTCTCATATTTTTAGGGTATTAAATTTAGTAAGCTATAGTTATTTTTTGTAAATTTTTTTATGGAAAATGGCTCTAAAATAATTATATATATTTTGTTATATTCCTTTCTGTATAAAATTATATTGAAATTATAAACTAATATGAATATTTTTAATAGAATTTTTTTAAATTTGGTATTTAAGAACAAATTAGTGAGAAACTCCGAATGAAAAAAAGTTATGTTATTAACAGGTAAAATTGGATCTAGTAGAAAAATTCTATTTATTAAAATCACAAACAAAAATGGAGGATGTCTATTTAAAATTTCATCATATAGAGAAAGAAAGATTGAAATTAATAGATACTCCTGGATTTGAAGATAGATTTTTGTTAATTATTTTTAGAGATCTCTAAAATATTTGATGTTGTTTGTTTAAATACTCAATATTCTTCAACTGCCTTACTCTACTCAAAAAAGTTTGTTTATAAATCATGCATTAATAATGATGAAAAAATCGGTTATATCATAACAAAAGTAAATTTGAATGATTAATTGTTGAAGATTTGAATGAAAAAAGAGAGTCAAAATTTTTATATTTACCTTATCAAAACAATAAATTTCTTTTTCTATTTTATTACCTTATCCAGAAGGATCTATAAATAATTTTTCAGCAGTTAACTACTCTATTTGATATGGACCTCTTGGAAACAAGATTTTTATGAAGGAAATTTGTATTGTTGTCTAAAAATATAAATAATCAAATTTATTTCAAAACTTATGATCCTTATTAATTTTATAAAATTTATGAATAGAATAGATTTATTAAGTTATAAACATATTTTTATATACCTCTTACTAACAAAAATTATTGATTTACTAAATGGTAATTAGTAAATTATTGAAAACATCTGATTTTAAAAGATTAATTATGAACTAAAAACAATTCTTAAAATTAGTTGATAAGTTAAGTGAAATAATGGTAAAATAATAAGCAAAAAAAAGTGACAACCACAAAAGAAAGGACATGAGAGGTAAAATATTAGAGAAATCAACTAGAAATGTTGGAAAATGTAATTATTGTAATTTAATAAAGGAGATAAAGTGAATTATTTATAATAAAATATATTTTGTTTTCAATTTATTTGAAGCATATAATTACTAAAAAAGATATCTAAAAAATGTATAATATTTTATGTTATAGTCCTTTAAAAAATAAAAATTTGTATTATTGACTTTTCCAATTCGATAATAAAGCTGTAAATAAAATATTTATCAATTACTCTCATTAACTTAATGATATAAATCTTGTCTTGGATTAATATCTTCATCTTGCTAAATAGACTTTTCCTCCCCTATATAATTTTATTCCTTGTCTTCTTGATTAGAAGAATTATCCTTATCTTGATTAAATTAGATTTCTAAATTTTAATCTACTACATCTTCATAATAGTATTTTTCGCGAGAACAAACATTTGTTAATAGTTCAATTTAGAAATAGACATCAAAATGGATTTCGATAACATCGTTTTTTTATTATATAACACCATAGGAGTCAGTATAAGGATTTGCATTTGGGCAAAAATTTATATGTCTTAAACTTTCTTAGAAAATTTGACCCTATATTATATATGAAAAGTCAATATTACAATTTGAGTCATTATTTCTATTTGTTCATCAGTATCTTAGCTAGGTGAAAAATCATTCATTTTATAAATATATTTACATGCTTATTTTATGAAGTCCTTATTATAATTCTGTTTTTAATCAAAAATTTAAAGTTGTCTATTTTTTAAAATGAAATCTTTACTTGTTTCTGTATTTTAATATTTCCTCATAGATTGTAATTACTTAAGCCATCCATCCATGAAAATATAGAGCTTAAAGTAGAAATGTAAGTAATTAACTCAAGTTTAGTTCAGAATGAATTGCGCCTGTGACATTAAATTCAGGTGCTGATAATGCCTATTATTAAAGTTGTCTCATTTATTTAAAACTTAAAGGTAAATATTCCATATTTAAGTAATCAAGAATCTGTTATTTAATATCCTTTGCTTATTAAGTAATACTTAATTAACCATCAATTTCAAACGAACAACAAATCTTTTATTATTTATTAAATAATCTAAGCATCATAATAATAGGTCTATAAATATCAATTTCAATTTAACCAGTTTGTATTTATTCATGTAAATCTTCCCATTTAATAAAGTTTAGTAGAATATCAACACAAGTTCGCAGTTTCTATTTAAGTGTTTATGCTGTAGTCTATAAATTCTTTAAATGTTCATTATTGTAAGCTAAATCCTTTGCTAATTCATACTAAATAATTTCTTTCTTTGAAACTCTATACCAGTATTTTTCAACTCTGAAATTCAATAAGAATATTATTACATTGTTTTAAAATATCTACACACTATTCTCAATTTGAAAATATCTTTAATGCCAAGAAATTTAAATATATTGCTCTAAAATAGAGAGGATGGAATCTGGCTCATTATTGAATTTTCATTCAAAAGAGGAGTTTATTCGAACTCTTTAGATCTAACCTCAATATTTATATTCTTAGGGAGCTAAAAATGCACACTTTAAGCTTCAACGTCATATTTATAACATTAATTTAAGTACAAGTTAGGAAATGCCAATATTTTATAAACTTCAAAGCATATCAACTATTTATTTAATAAAATAGAATTTACAGTTATTTCCTAATTAAATTCCTGCTATTTAATTAAATTTAATTGCTTCCTAAGAACCTAGATAGGTTCAACTTTAAACTCTTTTTAAATTGCTTAACCATCCAGACTTTTTTATAAATTATTTAAGCTATTTGAATATTCTAATTCTCCTAAATTTAGATTTTTTTTTAATTCATCATAATAGACTTCTTTAGTTATATCTTTTGTTATATACAAACTTCTTTTAGGACTTTTAATTATTTTCATTATTTAATAGAGTTGTGAAATATTTACTTTATCCTCCCAATTATAAATAAGGTTTGGGGTTTTAGATAATTAAGATTCTTATTCTTGATATCTTTTGGTATATTACAACTAGATTATTTGGTGTAATTATTCAATTTCTGTAACATCATCGTATTCAGATAAAAATTTTTATTAAATTTTATTGCAAGTTTTTTCTAAGAATTATTTATGAATGAATCTATCGTTTGGAATGCCTTAAATAATAAGAATTAGATTTTATATTTGATTTTTCGATGAGATTTATTGTTCTGAATATGGATTATTACGCCAAAAATAATTTAATGATTGATTTTAGTTAGGCTACATATTCTGATTTTCATTTTGGAGATGTTATGATTCTTATGAATTATTTTATTCTTCTAATGTATTAGATGCTTAATTGTTCTTTTAAAACATTTAAAAAAAATTAAAATATATAATTCTCATAATTGCAATTTGCTATAACTTTTTCAATGAAATTTTCAATTTCTAATATTGAAATATAACTTAAATTTTTTTTGAACTTCATTCACCTACCTGCATATTGATATGAAGATTAAAGATAAATTTTACAATAACCATATATGTTCATCCCTAATTGAGTATATACATTGATTATTACTAAAGCTAGAATAGGAACCTTCTTATAAAAATAAACAAATAGATTTGGAATGATTATATTTAAATATATTTTAGTTTATATTTTTATTTTATTAGATCAAAGGAAATTTTTCATGATTATAAGATTTACCTTAAAATTTGTAATGTACCATAAAATAATATGAAGATGTATGAATTAGTGATAATTATAAATTAGCTAGATTTGCATCATTCTACGTAAGTATTTAATTACAGATAGACAATCCATCTACTTTTAATTAGCCTAAATTAAATTCATCTTTAAATATAATTTATTATATACAAAAATGAATCCATCAGCTATAATTTAATTCAATACTGAATTTTTTTATTTTAAGTTTAAGTAATTCGTATTTTTAATTAAATATAAATCATAATTCACAATTAGACAACTCTATTCTGCTTGTTCTGAGGGAATTATTTAATCTGATAATTATATTATTTGATAATTAATAAATATTATCAAATTATAAAAAGTCTATTTTTGATTCAAATGTAGGATGAAGGTGAGTCTCATAAAAATAATTCTAAGTACTCAAACTTTTCTAAATTGAACAGATATTTAGGAAATTAATGGAAATAGAAAAGTTTGTTATTACCAAATTAATCTATTTCTTTTTAAAAATTGGATAGAATTCTGAAAGCGTTAAGACTAAGGAGAGATTATTAAAATTATTAGAAGAGACTTTAGAAAAATTGAGATTTAAGCTTATGAAACATAGTAGCAAGTAAAAGATATGAAATCATTTATAATTATTACCAAATACTATTTGAATTTAAAACAAAAATTTATTAAAAATTTTTGTATTTTTTTATGTTATAGTTTAATCATATAATCAGTAAAACTTTATTCAAATAATATCTGATACTTAAAATAGAGAGGCTAATTGAATTAGGTATGATTTTAAAAAGAGTTAGCGAGCTACTTAATGAATCAATGGTTAATTTTTATTTGATATTTATTAATAAACCAATTGAGATTTTGTTTTGATTTGTAATTTTCTACCTATTAAAATATTTTTCTAATAATAAGTAACTCACTCAACACTTTTATCAATTAATTCTATTTCCCCCTTGATTTTAAGGTTATATTTCTATTCACTATAATCAAAATTTATGTTCATATTCAATCCTCTATATCAGTGTTATCCATTTAACATTCATATTATATTTACCATTGTAAATGACATAAACTCAATACCAAAAGACATCTCATAATTCTTTTCACAACTCTATCTATCTCCTGATAAGCTTGATTATCAGCTAACTCTAAAATATTATTATACTTATTATTTATTAGAATCATTTTTCCAAAAATAAAATATTTCATAGTCATTCGTATTTTAGCCAATTTTAAATTTCATAAGCCTAAGTTTAAAAATAATACAAGTGAATACTTTGTTTCAAATATTTTTATAAATTCCTTCCAATGCCATTTTTTCACTATTTAATTGAACTATTATTTAGATTTAAATCATAATCATCTAATGCCTTTGATATGGTCTATCTAAGACCCAAAATCTTCATTCACGCAATAATTGATTTCACAAATCTCTTTTATTTAAAAATAAGATATAGATAAAAAAATTATCTTCATAACTTAATTTCCTTCTTTGAAATATTTTTTAATTATCTACATAAATCCACATCCAATTTATTCTAGAAAAAATCTAATATTATAAAAAAACTTTTTCAATTTTTTTGTGGCTTTCAATCCAAAATGAAGTTTTTGAGATTGTTCTTTAAGAATTCTTCCCTATAAATGAATTGATTTGGATGTTAAATAATTATTTATTAATAAAATTTAGCCAACTGGGCATAGTTAAATATTTTGCTTTCAAAAATCCGCTAGAAATGATAAGAATTGACAGAGAAAATAGTTGTAGTGTATAATTTATCATAAAATATTTAATTATGTCCTCTTTTGATTTAATGAGGAAAAAATATTTTATATTTCTACTATTTGCATCTTATTGATTAATTATTCAATGCTAAAGTAAGAAAATGCAGCTTTGATGCAAATTATATCTCTACAAAAAAATTTAAAATATCATTTTTAGAATTCTAAAATCGACAGATTCTTGATATTTTAAAAAGATTATCAATCTTGAAATTTATTTTCTTTTTATTTTCATAAACTTGGTTCATTTTTCTATAACAATTTTAATTTCCATAATATTGACAAATACAAAATAAAATATTACAGATGAGTTATTTTAACAATAAATCACTCTTTGCAAATCTTGAAAACTTTTATCGTGATGGAAATTGATGATCCTAATTGGATTAATTGCAATAATTTTCTAAAAAATATTCAAGGAGTAGTTAATTTAAATTCAGAGTTTACTATTCTTGTATATACTAATTGGCTTCCAAGAAAAACCACAAAATATAAAAATATACTCTTAAGGTTTAAATTTTTCTTTTTGCTATCATTTAACCATATACTACTTTAATTAATTAAATTTAATCTATTTTAGGCTTAGATAAACTTTGTGATCTTTTTCTTCTTTTCTCATTCATAAAAAGATATTGAGTTTAATTTAAAAAAAAATAAAAATGTGTTATTAGTTTATTATAGAATTTAAACAGAAGAAATCTACATTAAAGTAAAAGTATAGAAAAAAATTCTTAAATTGAAAATATTTATTTCTATAAAATATTTATACAAAATTATTCTATTGTTATACAGTTTATATTGATCATTAATTAATTCGATAATTAGATTACTTTCAAAGTTAAATACATTATGAAAAAAATAATTATTTCATTAATTTTATGTAAAGAATGATTATTAAAGTAAGATGGGATATTTTGCATAAAATGCTTATAATTTAATATTTTAATTTAGAAATAGTATTTAAGATAAATATAATTTCTTATATTAATATATAAATGTTGAATAATTATGTTACTTTCAATTAAACATAATTTAAATATATATTGAATATTAATATAAATTTTCATATCTGCTTCAATTATTTCTAAATTAAGATATTTAATTATAATATGAACATTTTTGCAAAGCTATTAGGAATGATGGGAATATGTTATGCAGTGATTTTTTAGACAGGTTATGTTGATAATTTTTAAGTTTGGCAAAAAGAGAATGTTCTATACACAGGTACAGATATAGGAAGAAGTTCGACATAAACAATATATTTCCTTGAAACTTTTCCTTGTGTTCCTTAAGTTTTCATAACAACAAAATTTATTGATTTAGAAACTGGACCTTATTAAGAATATAAATTTGAAATCACTAGCATAACGTAGAGTTGTAAAATTTAGTTTTTTTATAAAGGGTTTTCTGTAACAATCACATCATAAGCTAGTTTGAAGATCTATGGTATAGAGTTTAGATATTATGCCATGTGTGATAAGAGATTTTAAGTTTTCACCTTTTTCAATATGAAAAGTCCATTTAATTAAAATCCAAAAATTTATCATAATAATCCAAATTATGTTGTTGGTATTGCATCAATGACTAGTATTGGATATGAAGGTTCATTTGAATATACTTTTGATGTACATTTAAAATTATGTTTTAGGTCGCCTAAATAACAACGTCATTTTGTGAATTAAAATTGTATGTGTCTAGCTCAATTAAACAGTTTGGAGGTTAATTACTTTTAGGCACAAAAGAAGCTTTCTATTATCTTCCAGAAATACCATTTCCTGCTGAAGTTTCTGATTTTAAATATAAAGATGGTTGGGAAGGATCTAAATTATTTACAATTTATACTAGAATGAAATATTCAGAAGGAGATAATTTAAGAGTCAGATTTGCTAAGAATTTATAGATCAATTCCGACGAGAGCAATGATCCCAATGATAATGGTTTTATTGCGAATGTTTGTAATTATTTTTTCAATATTTAGGGTATACAAGTAGATTAGATTATGCTAATTTTAGATATGGAGCTATAAGATAAAATTTGCAAATAGGATATTATTAACCTTTTAAATTAACAAATTTATTAATAACTAAAATTTTCGATAACCAATTTTCAAATACACATTCATTATCTATTAAAGAGCTTAATTTTGAAACTATAGCTACAACCTTATCGCCAGTTATAATAGACTTGAATCCAACTATTGACACTCTTACTATTACTTATTAATATCTTTGTTAAGTTGGCAAAACATTAAAAATTAAAATGCTAAAAGAAACCTGTAATTCAAATTCATTATAAACAACAACAATTGTATGTTCTTCTAAATTCAAATATTTAAAAATTTATTCAGTCTTTAAAGTTATCAAACCATAATACTCAACTTTAAATATTCGAATAGATACTCAAGAAGTAAATATTTTACAATCTTATCTTGATTACTAATACATAGATTAAGATATTGCAATCTTTGAATAATTTTGATTAAAAATTTATTAAATCAATTTAATTAAATTTTTTTTTATATATGTGACAACATTTTTATTTTCAACGATTTGGATTTTCTTCTGAACATCTTTTTCTTTCAAATATTACTGTTTCATATTTAAAATTTAAAATTTTAGTTTCGATTTAGTTAATACATATTAATAACTTTTTAATTTATATTTCTTTGTCATCAAACACAGGATTTGAATGTAAATATTAGTAATATCTAATTAACCCAAATTATGGATTTTTCAAATTGCTCAACAAATAAATGGAGTTAAATTAAAGAAATAATTATACTTTTTTCGATTATTAATTGTTTTTTTTTATTTTTATTTGAATGTTAAGATTAATTAAATTTATTTAAAAATGATTAGTCAACTCTCTTACAAAGAAACCAAAAGCACTGTTAAGAAGAATAACTAAAAAAAGCTCAATTGAAAACAAATGTAGCTTGTTTCAAAAAATAAATTTATATCAAGAAACAAATGATTTAAATCATAAAGGCTATCAATATTATATTGAATCAAAATAAAATATGAGGTGAATACCTTTTTAAATTTTGATAATCCCTAGCTAAGACTTTAAAATTATCAAATGAACCTCTTGTCTTTATCATCTTCTGTGTTTGTTTTTTTTCTAATGGAGAAATAATTAACATTTTTTAATTCTTTCTTAGATATATAAAAAATTATCACTAAAAATGTTTAAAAAATTTACCTTTTCTCTTCTTGAAAAATAACTGCTTCATTAAGTTTTCTTACAAAGATCCTTTTCATGATGATATAAAAAACTGTTTTTTTAATCAGTTTAAACATAGTATAACTTATATTTTATCCTCTTTATATATAATTATATTTTAATTACAATTCTAAAATATTATATAAAAGTACTCTTAAAATATATGTCGACTGAGAATAAAATTGAATTGCTCTATGGCATTTTTTAATAAATAAAAAATTAATTTTATATTTTATGTTTCAACTCTTACTTTAAATTTTTTGATAAATAGTAAAATTAATTAATTTAATAATGAAATCGTAATATTTAATTAATTTTAATAATTTTACTATTAAACGTATCAAATTCCTGTAATCAAATAAAATGTTCTGGGAATAAGATATTGAATAATTCCCCATCTCTATTCGATTAAGTTATCATTAATGAGAATTCTAGCATAATATTCTGTCAAATATAAAGTAATCATTACAGAGGTTCCTATATACATTAATACCCAAAAAAGAATGTTAAACCATCCCTTGAATAGTGTATAAAAATACCTTTTTAAAGACTTCCTTAGCTTAGATGAATAGAATTCCTGGACCAGTGAATAAAAAGAAACATATGGGATAGAAGAAACCTAAAGCAAAAGTGAGAATAATCTCATGAATGACAGCAGAACATCCAAAAGTAATCAATTATCTAAATAATCTACTTCTTTTGCCTTAACTCAACTTTTCACTGTCTAAATAGACATAATAATAAAGAAATTCATGAACAATAACATTCCATTTCCTATAATATTGTCCAAACTCTGATGCTGTCCACCAATCATGATAAAAAGTTCTATCTGGAAATCTCAATAATTCTGCCCATCCATTAAACCAACTGTGAAGCAAACCAAAGAATACTAAGACTAAAGAAAAAGTAGATGGCATCATCAACTTAAAAAGTGTCACTATGAAATTCATAAATGTTAAATTCTCTCTAAAAATAAAGAAAGAATTTACCTTAATTATAATATTGGTTCTTTACAGAAAGATCTAAAGAGAATAAATCCATAATAAATGCATAAAAAGAAGTTGGCAAATTCTATTACAACCTTTTTCTTAGAGTAATTTGGAGCTTTCACATAATAATCTCTATATAAGAGTGTTGGAGCCAAGAAAAAGTAAGTGTATCTCTTAAGTTCTTAGGAAATAGATTAAATATTTATATCTGGAAGTAAAGCATTTTTTTTAGTAATTCCCTTCTTTTCAAATGAATGAAGAATAAAGTATTTATATTCATTTTCTGTACCATATAACATCTTATTACGAGCATATGAATAGTTTTTCATCATCATTCTAACAGCTTCACACATTACAATCATTCTTGAACCAAATCCATTCTATATTAATTTATTTTAATTACCACCCATGCTGTTGTCATATAACATGCAGCCAAAATACTTATTGTTTAATGAAGACTGAATATAAGGATGGCTGTAAATGCTTTTACATTATTTTAATAACAATAAGTAACCCAATAAACTGTCAAATAGCTGGATAATACTAAAGCAAACCAAATTTCAGCCACTAATAATGGAGTTTAAAAACACCAAAAGAATGTTTCCATATCAAAGATGATTCCTCTCTCTATATAATCTTATATCCACAAGTTTCCCATTAAAATAAACATGCTAGCCATCATCATATGATAAAGAGTTTTATAGTCTGATTGTTTCAACATCTCTGATAAAAGAGATGGTTTATATCTATATAATTATCATTATATTCCTACCTAAATACTTTCTCCATTTATCTTTCCTAATGATTTATCGAACTTACTTTGTGGTCAAATTGATCATCTCTTAATTCATTGATCGTTTTAGATATTTGTTGTTCAAATTATTCCATCTCTTCACGAATAGAGTCTTCCAATTTCTTTTATGACTACAACACTCTATTCTCTATATGAGTAATCATCTTCGCTTTGTACTCAAGAAGATCATTCTCCAAATCCTTACTTACAATTTCTTTTAAAATATTATTTGATATCCTTACTCTTCTAAGATACTATTGCTGTAGTTGGTTATGAAGAATCATTCTCTTTTTCTACTTTTTTCTATTGCTATTTCTTTCTCATAAAAATATAATTTATGATTACCAATAAACTCAATCCTTAACATAGCAACAAAAAGAAACGGCTAACTCATACTCATCTTACTATATTACCACAATTTTATGTCTTCCACAAATATCTCCAGAATTATCCTAAATTCCAAAAATATACTCTATCACCAAAAATGCCTCAAATATTCAAAAGTTGGCTCAGATGATGGCTTTTTTATAAAGAAGAGTTTATATTTTTCTTAATACTTAAAAAATACCACTATAACATATTTATGTATACGAAGTTACATTTTAAATAATTTATTTGCATTAAGGATTTTATTATTTTTTATTACAATAAACTTATTTTTAATTTATCAGAATATTTATGATATATATATAGACAACTATTACTGTTAAATACAAAACATTTCATTTTGCTAACCACTTCTCTAATTCTTTGATATTTATTTAAACTTCTTTGCATATACTGTGATTTGGCCCTAAAACCTTTTAATAATGTTCTAATGACATTTAAAAGTATTTCTTTGCTTAAGCAAATTTATCTTATGTTCCATACAACACTCCGAAATTGTTGTATATATCACCTAATGTAATCAAATCTGATGCAGATTTGCTGTTAGCAATTTAATTTGCTGCAATTTAATAATTTTCCTCAGCTGATCTGAAATCCTTCATCTTTCTGTATACCAATCCCATATTGTAATAAATTTTTGCTAATCTTGTTTTTTCATTATCATTTCTCTTCTTAAGATGCTCAATTCCCTCTTTATAATGTTCCAAAGCTTTATCATATTTCTGAATACCCATATAAGAAGCTCCTAAATTCTTAAGAATATCAGCCATACTATCAAATCTCTCATCAACTGTACATTTGACTAAATTATCATGATAAAATTATTTCAGTTGATTATAGTGTTATAACGCTTCTTCATATCTACCTTCTTCTAGAAAGCTTTGGGATAACAATTCCTAACTTTTCACAGTTTATTTAGCATACTATCCATATATTTATTTTCTCAAGGTATATGATTCTTAAGCTGCTTTGATAGTTTCAGCTGATCTACCAATTTTTTAAAAACATAAAGCAATTTCAAAAAGTGTGTCTGATAATCTTTATTAATTAGATTATTGATGTTTTCTATAGATTTCAGCTGTAATTGAATAAAAAGAGATTGCCATATCAAATTATTATTTTTCATAATAAACTCTTGCCAAATTATCATAAGTAGAACAAAGAATAGGACTGCGATCTCCACATAATAATTTTTTGATTTATAAAGCACTCTTAAAATATTTAATAGCCTGATCAAAATTTTTCAATTTCTTATGAGCCATAGCTATATTTTATAAAATGACAGCTCCTCCTAAATTATTTTCCCCAAAAATCTATTCTTTGATTTAATAAGCTTATTCATAATGTTTAATGGCTTTTTCAAATTCTCCTTTTTTTCGTTTAACAATTCCTAAATTATTATAACCATCAGCAACAGATGAATGTTTATCTCCATTTAACTTTTTATATAACGCAACTGATTCACAAAAGTTCTTTTCAGCTTCTTCATATTATTCTAGATCACAATTAACAGTTCCTAAACTGTTCATAATATCTGCTTTGGCATTATCTTTAGATAATTTGATAGCATATTTTAAAGCTAATTCATAATGTGATTTTGCATGTTCAGGTAAATTCAATTTTTCATATGCTTCAGCTAATTTAACTTCTCTCATCATTAAATCTTAGGGACTTAAATTCTATTAATGTAGATAATATTTACTTTTTTATCTTGTTAAGTTTTTAAACAATTAACAAATACATCTTCATTAGGTTTTTTGAATAAATCTTTATAAGATGAAACCAATATTAATAATTCATCAAAGGAAACACGTTTCTAATCATCATATTCTAACATTTTAGTAAGGATCTGTTCGAAAATAGAAGGTGATTTAAGTTTTCTCAAGATTTCAACTTCAATCCTTAGAGATTCTCGATCCATTCTTGGAATCAACTTACGCATTAATAAGAAAGTGATTCCAACAGAATAGACATCAGATGTATATGGATCATAATTTAAATGTTATTTTCCAACAAAGAAACGACCTTCCTTATCTTTTTGTAAATCACAAAAAAAGTATATTTCAGCTAATAAGAAATAATATATAATTTAATACGAGCCCAATAAGCTGGAGATCCACGAACAGTATTTAATTAAGTCTATTTGGGTTTTAAGAATTTGGCTCCTCCTAAATCAGCAATCTTATAGGATTTATCTGCTTAACAATACAGAATATTTTATGGTTTAATATCACGATGTGTTACATTATGTTTCTTCATAATGACGAAACCTTCGATTAATTAATGCAAGATATAGAGTAACTCTTCATCAGTCCATTTAGTTTTATTCTCTTCTACTCTCACCTTATATTTTGCATGAAAAATGTACCTTTAAGAGTTCCATTAGATTACAATCACATAATTCCATTACAATTACTAAATACTTGTTATCATCCTTTATGCATGGATAGATATCATAAATCTTAAGTAAGCCTTAACAATTAGTTTGTGATAAGGTTTGCATAATAACAATTTCTCTCACTGCTGCTTTAAACTCTGGGTCTTAATCACTTTCATCATCATATCCAATAAACTTCAGAGCATATTTCTTTCCTGTTTTTTAATCCAAAGATGCAAATACTTATCCAAAGGTACCTGCTCCAATTTCCTTAGTTATGTTATATATCTTACCTGCTTTATATCAAAGATTTCCCAATTATAATTTTTATTAGCCGCTTTATCCTTTATTTGTTCAATCTATAATTTCATGGCTTATTATAAATCTGATGGTTCAAGTACTACTACTATTTGATTCTGATTCATTCTTATTGTCATCTTTTCATCTTTACCTCTATGCTTCAGTGATTTACTTTCAAAGTTATTTGATTCCATTAAAATATTATCTATAAATATAATATGCAATACTAGCAATAACGTATTTTAACTGCTTCAGAATACAAATATGCTACATAAACTAAAAGTGTAAGATCTAATACTCCTCATACTCGTGATAGTAGATATGAATTATCATCAGATTCTTTAAGATCTACTTATGAAAATCGATCATCTAAACTCACTCCAGAAATTTGTTAATTCTTAATGGCTTGTGAAATTGAAAGATTGCTTGCTGAAAATGATAAATTAAAATTCAGAATCAAAGAAATGTCAGATAATACTTAAGATAAACATCATCTAGAATAATAAATCATTGATTTAACTAATCGACTCAATGATATTGCTAATATTGTTGAAATCTATAAACATGAAAAATCTGAATTGATCATACAAACTACAACCTTATAATAAGAAATCTAATACTAAAAATAATAACAAACTAATTTTTATGAAACAAGAATTTCTAATCTCTTAAATGAAGTTGATAAACTTACTGCTTAATTAAGAGATTTTGAAACTCTTAAGGCTGATGATATGTAAATCTTAAGAAATCAATTAGAATTTACCATGAAAACAGAAATTGTAAATTTATATCAATAATTTATTAGGAAAAAACACTTTAAAAATAAGAACTTAATTCATAATTTCAAAGAGAATTTCTAGAAGGAGAATTAAAAAAATGGAAAGAATTATGTAATCAAAAATAAAAGGAAAATGATGATCTTAAAAATATTATTTAATAAAAAGAATTAAATAAAAAAAGAGAATTAGAAAATTAATTATTGTCATATAAAAATGAAACTGATAGAGTCAATAAATTATTAACTACTAAATTAGAAGAAATTGAAAATTGGAAATAAAAATATCTAAAACTTTAACTCATTAATGATGATTAAAAAAAAATTTAAATTGACAATCAATAATTACTTGATAATTTTACTCTTTAGGAAAACAAAATTAATCTCCTTACTAGTTAATTAAATTAATCCAGATTATAAATTGATAATGCAAATGCTCGTAATCAGTTGCCTTTTATTCTTAGTCACTTTGTCTGAAAAAAATAAAGCAAATTAAATTATTGCCTAATTAACAGATATTGAGAAGAAGAAAAATGAATTTGAAAATAGATACAAAAACCTCCTGCTTGAAATTGATAAAATAAATGAAATTAATAAATCTAAAGAATAACTTGTGATCACCCAAAACATTAAGTAAGAGTATCAAATATATATTTTAGGATTGAAGAATTTCAAAATACACTAATTTAATATCGTTCTATTAATGAAGAAAAGACACAGGAAATTGAAAATCTCCGTAGATTGATTATTAAGTTGTAATAATAAATAGGTTAGTTTGAAGAATAAATTAATTAATTGAGAAAATTTTAAGAAAATGTATAGAATTACTATTAAATTAGTGTCGCGTATTGTCAATTGAAATCGATAGATTAAATGAAGAAAACAAACAATAAGATACTGAATTAAAATAATGGAGAATGTAATATGCTGATTAGGGATTCTTTATAAAAAAACTTTAAGATTAGCTTTGTATTATCATAGTATTAGTAAGTGAAATCGAGAGTCTAAGATCAAGGTTGTTAGAAAAAGAACACGAAATAGAAGAAACTAGAAGATCTAGTCTAGCACCTTATAAAATTTGAATCTTCAGTATTTTATTTTGAATATCAAATAATTACATATAATATTAAATAATCATCCTTAAAGAATTTTATTACTTTTGATAAATATGTTTATGATGAGTTATTGTTAAAAAGACTATTAAAAAATTTTAGATCAAATATAATTATAATACGAAAATAATTATGTAAAATATTTTATAATTTTATAATGAAAATCATTATTAAGCTTGAACACTTAAATATTATTTTCCATCTAATATCATTTATTTTAAATTCTCTGCGTTTTATTGAATTTCATCCCCATCCACATCTTCAAAAATGGTATCCTTGTAATCTAAAACTCCAGCAGTTTCAATAAATAATTATTTAAGTTCCTCGCATTGAATATCATCTCTTATGAAATAAATATTTTATGGATTATCAACAAAATGAGAAAATCCTTCCTTTAGATTTTATTGATCTTTAACATCATCCTCACTTAATTAAAACTATGTAACAATGATGTTGATCATGAATTTAAATTTCTTGAAATATTTTAAAGTTTTCAAGATTTTATTTTTCATAATGTCTGTTCTTTCAAAATTAACAACTATATAAAATTTTTAGATTAAATTAAAATTTTCTTTGAAATATCTAGTGAATTTTTCAATTATTTCTTCTCTTAAATAATGAGAAGTCTCAAATTCTATTGAAGGTGTATCTACTATTTCTAAATTATTTCCAATATTAAATTCATATAATGAACTAGTTTAATTTTGGTTTTCTTTTCTTTAAATTTTATTTTCACTAGCAATATTAAATATTTTAGTTTTTCCTACACCAGATTGTCCAATCAATATTAATTTTTTGTTTGTTGATTTATTTTATGAAGGTTATTTAGAACGATAATGGTAATAATAAAATGACAAAATAATTATTACTATGATTCCTATGAGAAAAATGTTTGTATATTTTGATATTGAACATTCATCTAATTAAAGAATGAAATTTTTATTTTCTAATAGCTGTTTTTCAGAATCCATTTTTAATTAATATAATTTTATAAATGATATTGTTATAGAATTATCAACTTCATCTGTTTGAACTTAATATTTTTAATTCAAATTCTTTCGACAATTTATTTAATTCATCATCTTCAATAATCTCAAATATTGTGTCTTTTGGGGTAAACTCTTCATTTTTGTTTATATGTTTGGCTACTTTGAGGAATTATGAATTTAATTCATTTGAATCGTCATCTGAGCTTACTAAAATTAATCTGTTTTCATCATCTTTTATTAATACAGAGAAAACATTTAATAGTTCTTACCTACTCTATGTTTTATCTTCTGCTTTTTCAAATGAAGTTACTAAGATTACTATCAAATCTTTATTTTTCTAAAACCATTTAACAAGAGCAAATAAATTATTTTTCATTAAATCATTCCTTTCATAATCAATAGCCACTAATAAACATTTAATTTGGCTTTTAAGAAGCTCTTCTCTTTTAAAAAATTATTAATACAATTTAATACATTTTTCTCTCTCATCAATAGATTCTGTCATAGTTAAGAAAGGGCATGAAACTACATAAAAATTATTTTTTGATTATTAATTCCTTAATCTATGAGATTAAAATTGATGTTATTTGATAGTAGTTCTTGAATCCAATAACTTCTAAAATAATGAATTAGAATAATTTATTCCCAAAATAAGTGATAATTAATGTTAGGTTCCAGATATTTCTCTATAAAATCCTATTATCTTTAGGAAATAATAATATGCTAGATTTGATAATTATGAAAATGGCTTCATTATAAAAGAAAGCAGGAAAAAAAGTATTGTTTCTGGAATTGACATTAACAATGATATTAGATGTTTATTATCAATTTAAAAAATACTTTGAAGCCAACTATTAATTCTATTAAGAGTTTAAAATATAAAATATAAATAAAATAATTTATTTATAATTAAATCAGATCATTGAAATAATATTGGAATTCTAAAATATGATATATAATGCAAATGTAAATAAATTGAAGCAATATAATTAAAAATAATAGATTCATACTTTTTTTCCATCACACCATTCTCCTGTTTATTTATTACCACTAGGATCAATAACTTCCCCTTTTCCATGTTATTTTCCATCTTTCCAATAACCCTTATATATTTTACCATCTTGCCAATAAAATTCTCCATATCCACATTTTTTATCCTCTTTATATTCTCCTAAAATGATTTATATAAAATATGAATACCTTAATATCTTTTACCATCTGGCCATACAAATGTACCTTTTCCATCCATTTTATTCTCTTTCCAATCTCCTTAATATCTCCTTTTATCAGCCCAAGTATATTCTCCTTATCCATGAATTTAATTATCAACAAAAGTGCCATGATATTTTGCACCATCACTCCAAGAAAACATCCCTATTCCATTCTTTTTACCTGATTTATATTATCCTTCAAAAAATGAATTATCTGGCCAATATTCTTTACCTTCTCCCTCTTATAAATTTTCTAACCATTATCCTTCATATCTTGCTCCATCATAATGATAATAGATTCCAAATCCTTTAGCATTTCCATTAATCCAAAAACCTTCATAAGCATCACCATCTGCATATATTATTCTACCATGTCCAGAAATCATATCATTTTACCATTAACCTTCATATATTGATCCATCCTACCAAAATTGTTTACCAAAACCTTCTCGTTTCAAACCATCCCAAGTTCCTATGTATATAGCTTCTCCCTTTATCTAATAAGGAGGTTGAGCTTAACCATTAATCTAAATCTATTATATTGGTATATATTTTCCTATTCTTTCAAGAGTTCTCTTAATATTGTTATTAGTTATTTCAATCGGCTATTCATAAAGCTTTAAATCAGGATGTTAAAGTTATTATGGGACCTCAATCACTTTTTAAATATCCTATTTTTAAGATTATTATTAAAGAGATTTAAAAATAACTGGATCATCATCACTTTTTCTTTATTCTAACTCCTATTTCTTTTCATCTGTTATTTCTGCAGAAACTTCTTAGGAAATTATTTTTTAATTATCTTAAGTGACATATTGTAACTATTCGACAAATACATTAGTTTAGTTATTGCTAATTACTTAATGATTCAATATTGGTTGTTGAGCACAACATTTTGCTCCCATATTTATATTAATTTAATTTATAAAATTTGTTCAAATGAGTTAAAGGAAATTGTTTAGATATTACATCGATCAAAGCATCTAATAGTAAAAAGAATAGAAACTCTTTCTGACAAGAGTCAATAGATGGAGATTTAACACTTTAGACAAATCAAATTGTATATCAGATATTAAGTTATTTAGTCTTGAAATCCTCCAGACCTATCAAACCCATCCTATTTGGTTTAGCTTGTTTAGCAGTTTATGGTACTCTATATTTATATATGTAGATTGGACTTATGGATTTTATCGTATTGATGAACATCATTGATTTATTATTAACAATAAATATATATTAATAACAATATGTCTACTCATGTTAATCAAACATAACAGAACTTAACCAATCCCTAATAAGATATCAAGTAATAAACTTATAATAATTTGTCTTAGAAATCGCATCAGATCTCAAAAATTGTACTTATCAACAATTATTAAATTCCTTTTTGCCGTATCTCTATTTCTAATGTTCAGTCTTCAGATTTAATATCAATTTAACTTGAGTTACATTTTTCTGCTTTTATTACTCTACCATCTTATTGACTTTTTGAACTTGCTTTACTACCAATTTTAAATGAAGAAATTGTAAATCCAATTGTAAACATTATTAACTATACAGCAAGAAGATCAAGCTACTGTTATATATTGGAACTAAAATATTTGATTTCATTTACTTAACATTCTTATTGTTACTTATAATAGTGGGATACCAATATTTTGTTTACACCAATTTATGTTTAGTGATTGCAATCATATTCAATTTTTACTCACTTTATTAAGATAGAATACTATTAGAATCACTTAAAATGTTAAACAAAATTTCTTTAATCTGCCGAATTTACATTTTGATTTGTTCCTTATTCATTACCATGAAGTTGGATAATATTCTTCTTTGGAATTGGACTCCCACTTTATGGAGTATTTGGGTAGGTTTAATTTGCATTATTGGGGTCAGTGCAGGCTCTGTAATTGTCACATTTAGCAGAATTGTTCAATATATGTTTGATAGATAGAATCTATTGAAATCAGAATGTATTTTTTCTTATATTAAATTCATAGTGATTACTTATATTTGGATAACTTAACTTCTCATTTTTGGTAGTATCACTTTTGCTTTAAATTCCTTTGGGTATTTATAATATTTGGAAAATCAACAAAGTTATTCATATAATTTCTTTATACTATAATATTTCAGTATTGCTGAATTTATCATCATCATTTTTTATTCTATATATTTTCGTTTAGATATCTGTGAATAAATATTTTTAACACTATAAGATGATGAACCAATAAATTAATAATAATTTTCAGCTAATATGTAAGTTAATAATTAAACTTTGTAATAAATTAATCCGACTTCTTCAAGATCTTAAATTCCTTAGGTTGTATAAAAAATATCAAAAACCTATTTTGGAATTCCAAGAATTAAAAAAGAGGGTGACCAAGATTCAATTAGTGGATCACCTGTTCTTAAGAAATCAACTAAAAAACACAAACGTGCATTTTCTAGCTAAGGAGTTGCTTCATAAATGTTTTAAGAATTAGATTAAATTGTAGTAGTTGAAAAATAACAATCTAATAATTTAAATAAAACAATCTCTAATGAATTAAAAATTTAACTTGATAAAAAGAGATGTAATTCTCATTTAGTCACAGTATAATATACTTATAAGTATTAGATTGCACATGATGAAAGTAATTAAAATAAAAACCAGGAAATGAGTTTGAGTCAAACAAGCAATGTTTGTATTGTCTGTTATGAAAGAGGACCAAATGCTGTTTTTATGAATTGTGGCCATGGAGGAACTTGCTATTAATGTGCTATAGATATTTGGAAATAAAAGACTATTTGTTATTTGTGCAGAAATGTAAATATTTATTGCTTATAAATTTAGAAAATTGAATACATTTTGAAAGTTGATTTGGAAGACAGATACGGAGATCTCTTTAAAGTTGTTTCTACTGCTTAAATGATCGATTAATTTAATAAATGAAAAATCCAAATATAGTTATAATATGTGATAAGATATACTTATCAAATTAAATTTTTTACAGATAATTTCATTTGATAATTATAAGTTTACAGTGAGGATCTTTGATATTTAAAAATACAAACATGTGAGCTTTTTAATTCAAATAAAATTTTAATGTTTGATCCTTCAAAGTTAGATTTTTTTAATAAATTATTGAATTCTATAATTTTAATTTACACTCAATTTAGATTGCAAAAGCAGCAATGTTAGAAAACAATAAGAAAACACCTAAATATATTTCATGTAATCAAATAAGGACAACTCTGGAATTTTTTAATCATGGGGGCTTATTTTATACTTAAAAGATATTTTATTTTAGGGAAGTAAAACTTTTGGGTTGAATTTGTAAAGAATTAGAAGATAATCTTAAGGGGGTAGCGAGATTTTGACGAAAGTGTCCATTTTTTAAGTTTCATATTTTATTAAATTTTGATCATCAAAAAATTCAAGTTTCTCTTCAAATTTAGTATCATCATGATTCTCATAATATATATAAATAAATCCTTCAATTTAACCTCTAGTTTTTTAAACATCTGGAAATCCTTAATCTTTGCAATTTTAAGTATTTTAGATTGTTGATTTTTATCTGATCATTTAAATGATTAACTCTTTTAATTTTACTTCATTTTGATGTGTTTAATTAAACACTTTTGGTGGTTCGATTGCTTAAATTTATAATTTCAATATTTATTGTTAATTTTTTAATTCTTGAGATAAGGATTCATGATCATAAAATTCTGCTTAACAAAGTAAAGTGTATTATCCCTTTTTTAATTTACAGATATAAATTTTAAGCAAAATCAATTAATTCATATTTGATTTCAGTTAATTATTTAGTACTATTAAAGTTTTAATCTCTTTAACAAATTGAGAACCAACAAGATTTATTTTCATTAATTTTAAAAGTATAAATATAAGTATGCTCTAAAAAATCTAATTTTCTTTCGATTGGGTTTTTCATTATAAGACAAAAGGTTGATAATATCTTAATTTAAATGAACTTATGAAATAGTACAACTCTTTATAAAGTTCCAACTTAAAAGGAATTTAGAACCTTCCAAAATGGTTCCTAAAAACATTTATTAAAATACCTTCATTATAAACAGCTTTTTATTAATGGCTTATAATTCAATAAAGTCTTATTGATTTTGATTATGGATTGATTTAATGACATAAGCATTATTCATTGAATTTTGAAACAATTCAACATAAAGAATAGAATATTTTAAATCCAAAATAACTTTTAAATCTTCAAGTTTAGAATTCTGATTTTTGTGATAGGTTAACCAATCAAAATCTTAGTTTAAGTGATGAAATAATACATATACAAATGATTCAATTGAATGAGTAATCAGATGATTAAAAGAATTAGAACTAGCTCCAAGTAATTTAGCAACAGCCTTCTCTAAAATGATTGGCCATAATTAATCACATTCAAAAGGACTATAATATTTTTATTATTATCATTTATACAAGGAACTTTATCATTTACAATAATAATTTTCCATTCACCTTAATCACAAAGCCAAACAGCAAAAGGATTCTCTTATTGTTCATACATATTTCTCATAAGTTGAATGTTTGATTATAATACATTGAAAGCATTGATAAGAGCAGAATTTTTATAGTAAAGTGAATTTTCTATAGATTTACAAGGAAATAATGAATTAGAGATTTCGAGATTACTAATTGAAGAAAATATAATTTAATTCTACTAGTTTTCTAATTTGCAATCTATATCTAAATCCTAGTTAGGTACCATTTTTGAATTAATTGGAATCCCTAATTATAAACTTTCCTGGAGTTTATCTTACATTTGTTATTAATTTATATATTCTATTTATTATAAGCAATATCAAAGTCTCTTAAACAAGGGGTCATTGAGCAGTAATTCAATTTGTTTTTTATTTAAGACTTCTTGTGTTTGATCTAATTCTTAAACCTCTAGACTATGAATATACTTTTTAAGATGATGTAATTCCCACCAAGTTTCCAGAAAACAAAACATTAAAAAGTAAATAGGCAACCATCTAATAAATCTTTTGAGAGCTTTAGTCCTACTTAAATAAGCAAAAGGTTATTCAATTTTATATAGATATTTATCTTTGAATTCTTGAAAGGTAACATCTTCAACAACAGTGTTATTAAGAGACAATTTTTCAGAATAGCTAACTTCATTGCTTTTTGTACCAATTGCATAGAGTACTTTTTCTTCTCTATCTAATTATATATCTTTATCTGCTGGTATATTATTGACATCTATTTCGCTAATATGAATAGTGTTTTCTGGCATTACAAAAACACTACCTAAATCTGCTTATCTGAATTGTTATCCAATTACATTAGATTTCATAGTAATTACATTTACTTCATCTATTGCTACTTAACTTTCTGTCATTGCTTTTAATGCGAGTGGATTATGTTTCATTTCAATAGTTGTTTTTGTATTTGTTGTATAAGTAATCTCTTTACCATCATTCACTATTTTGGCTGTTATTGTATTTGATAATGGGTCTTCTTCTACAAATTCCATTTTAGTTGGTGATTTTGTATAATCTTAGACATATTTATGATCTTAGTCTTACTCTGTCATTATCATTGGCTTTTCCAATTTTGGATCTAACATCTATTTTAAAGATTCTGTCTTTTTTATCTGCTACTTTACAATTTAACCAAAACATTAATAAATTCTTTTTTACAACATTTTTATTATTTCATGGATGACTCTTTCGAATTGGACATTTTATGTAAACAAAATCCTAATAACTCATTTCTTTTAAAAGAAATAGAAATTGTAAACTATCTTAGATCTCTTGGAATCAAAATGAAAACTGATCCCACTATCAAGTAGGAAGTTTTCCATTCTAAAAGAAAACAGTAATTCATAAAGTCTAACTCTACTCAATTTGATGTTTGCAGTATTAAACAATTAGAAATCTCATCCAATTCAATCAAATCTCGTAGAACTCCATCCCATACTCCATAAAGTTCACCCTTAATGGTCAATTAAGAAAATACCAGCCAAACTAGAAAATCTATCTTCTCTATTAGAATAGATGCCTTTGGAGAAGATAATTTTGAAGATTAAGAAGTTGGAGATTATTTTACTAATATTTGATTCATCAATATCATTATCTATATACATCATAAACACTTTTATTCAGCATATGTTAAGGCACTGGCTCATTTTTTAGTAGTTTTATTAATATAGATTACATCTTCTGTTAATTGCTGAATTTCTAATCTTATATTAATATATGTACATTCTTTATCTCCTTCACTTCTTCAAATATAGATGAATTTAAAGCATTTGTGCATGAGGGATCATCACATTTTACATTATAAGAATTCATCCCAAAACCTTCATTGTCTTCTTCCAACATTTTTTATGTTTTCTAGTATTTCTATATCAACAATTTTACACAATAACATATTGCATATACGAATTTTATATTCTCAGAATTTTTAGCCACTTAAATAATAATTTTTACAAATGATCCTGTTACCTCCTGAGAAAAATGCCTTTTCTTTATGAATCCACTATCTAATATTCTTATTATTAAACTCTCTTCTTCTTCAGTAATCTTTATTTTAGAATTTAAACAAATGTCCAATAAACAAACATAAAATCTTTACATTGTTTCTTTATCATCTATACCAAATACTGATGCTGGACCATCCATTATTGATTATAATGCTAAAATTGTTTTCAATCTTAAATTTATATATTTCAACAAATTATCCTTCTTTTACCTTAGTATATTCGTTGATTATAATAAACATTCAAAAATTCCTTATATCAATTCAATATTTATAAGATGGACATATTACAATATACCATTTAGTGCAGATTCATAATATTTCGATACTCGAGGTAATTTTAATACCTTAAAATAGATATAAAAAATTTTTGAAAGTATTTCCCCATTCTTAAATAATAATTTAAATTAATTATTACATTTTTTGCCAAAGTCTTTTTATCCAAATCTCCTTATGCTTCTTATAATTCATCCTAAACTTCTTTCAATAATTTCTTCTATTTAGCCATTTCCTCTTTAGTCAATTTTTATTTCTTTTTATCTTTCTCCTTCTAACTAAAATATTCTCTTTTCTTTTGTTTTACTGCTCTCTTCTTTTCTTTTTCTTACTTTTCTAATTCTTAAGGTAAAAATTTAGTGTCTATTTAAATTTAATTCACTAGATCGACAAAATTATCTGGTAATTGATCTTCATGTTTAGTCTAATAAAGCTTCTATATTTAAGTTAAAATTTATAATTTAGACTCATGTAATGAATGTTTCTTATTACTTAAGATATTAGAAAGAGAATGATAGCATATTTCATTACAAGTCAATAAACCATATGTAACATACTAAATTAATTCTCTATTGTAATTAAAATGAAATAATGAATTCAATAATTTGCATAAACTAAAATATAAATATAACATTTACCTTTAATAACAAGTTTCTACAAGAGGACCTTAAGTTATCAATTTAACAAAAGTAAATTAAGCTTTAATAAATTAGTAATAGTTCTTAATTAAACTCAATTCAAAATTGAGTACTTGCTTTTCTTCTTTTTTGATAAATTTTGTGATTTTAAACTCATGTGCTTGTTAATCAATTTTATATAATGGAGCAATATCAATAAATAAATCTGTCAAAGCCATGATTGTCATCTGAACAATGAACACATTATCATGTTTGAGTAATTCAATTAATTATGGTAACTCAGAAATTCTTTACTCAGGATTGGCTTAAATTTCTGTTACCTTTTCCTCTATCATCTGAGTAATTTGAGTCAGAGTCATTCCTCTTTCATTTTGAGACATTAATAAAATTATTAAATTAAATTATATAATATAATAATATAATTATCATAGTTCTAAAAAAGGTATAACTAAAAAACATAGTTTAAATAACTAAGAAAATTAATATATTGACACGACAATCCAGTTTTTCTGTTTTGAATAAAAATTAAAGAAAAACTTTTTTATTAAATTAATAATGTCCAAATATTCCGTAATTCTACCCACCTATAATGAAAGAGAGAATTTGCCAATCATTACCTACTTAATATTTGAGATGGCTAAAAAGAAGTAAAAAAAATAAAATAATTAAAGCAACTTAGATTTTGAAATTGTCATAATAGAGGACAACTCACCAGATGGTACTTTATAAGTAGCACAAGAATTAAAGAAAGTATATGGAGATAAATTGATCATACATTTTAGAGAGAAAAAGTTAGGTTTAGGATCTGCTTATATGGATGGGATCAAACTTTGTCATGGAAATTTTGTTGTAATAATGGATGCAGATTTATCTCATCATCCAAAATATTTGAAAGATTTCATTGAAAAATAGAAAGAAACAAATTGTGATATAGTAACAGGATCCAGATATATCAATAAAGGTGGTGTTATGAATTGGGGTTTTGATAGGAAACTTACATCTAGAGGTGCCAATTTCCTTGCATCAACTATGTTAGGAGTGAAATGCTCTGATTTAACTGGAAGCTTTAGACTCTACAAAAGAGAAGTCTTAGAAAAAGTAATTAAGGATGTGGTCTCTAGAGGATATGCTTTTCAAATGGAAATCATTATAAGAGCTAGAAAGTACGGATTTACAGTAGAAGAAGTAATTATTTATATTTAATAATATAAAGGTGCCAATTGTATTTGTTGAAAGAATCTTTGGAGAATCTAAATTGGGAGCATCAGAATTTCAAATTTATTTAAAAGGGTTATGGAAATTGTTATGGACATTCTGATATATGAATATAAATATTTACATAGATATATATATTTAAAAATATCTCACTACTTCTTAGATTTCGCTATCAACCAATCAACAACTTAAGTTATATTATTGCCAGTCAAAGCACTACACATTGCCACTGCCCATGCATTTGATGTTATGTAATCCAAATTTAGACCTTTCAATCTTATCATTATGTATACCTTCTATCAATTACTTTTCATTCAAATGTGGATTTACATCTATTTTATTCCCAATTACTAAAAGCGGAATATTACGCAAAGATTTATTATCTAACAAATTGTGTAATTCCTTTTTCGATGTTCCTAGTGTGGCTTGCTTTATCTTTATTTTTTTATTTTACATTTGAAGTATCAACCAAAAATATTATAGCATCACATCCTTAAGCATAATTACCCCATTCTGGTCGATATTAAACTTATCCACCAATATCCCAAATCTTTTAATCTTTTTTATTCATACTTTCATTGTTACTCCTCCCTTTTTCACAGTCCTGACATTCAATCCAACTGTTGGCACTGTGAAAGAAGGATCACCCATCGAAAGCTAATTCAACATTGTTGTCTTTCCTACATTTTCCAATCCAACCATACATACTTCAAGTTTAGAAGTTGAAAAAAATGATTTTAGTTTCTCGAATAAATTCCCCATTGGAGATTAATATAAATAATCAAATTACATTTTTTCAATCAAAATATCAATTCTTTTACTATATTGATTTTATTTCTTGCTAGTTTTTTATCTTTTCTAACATCCATTATTTGTATCACTCACAAATTAACATCAATATGTTAAAAATCAAATATTAAATAAATTTTTAATCTTATTGTAGCTCAAAACATTCCATTTTATTATTGAATCATAACATATATCTATTATTTAAATATAATTTTAGCGCTTTTTTCAGGAAAATTTATGGAAATATTTTAATTTATTTTAAAATTTAATTTCTCTAAGAGAATTTAAATTCATTTCATAAATAATGTGTTTTATTAATTAAATTCAAGTCCTCCATGAAAAATAACATTTTAACAAATTCTGACATCAATTCTTAATCCAGAAGAAAATAGTCTCATCCAATTGCAACAGCAAGACAAAATACATAATAAACACATTTATTTCAAACTATATATAAAACTCCAGAAAAATCAAGTATATTCAGATAAAAAACACCATCAACAAAAACAAAAATAAAGACTTATAATCCTGAATGCAAAGAGAATGAAATTAGTACAATTAATAAATATAGTTCTTCAAAAAAATCAAATAGATAAACATATCAAAGATAACCAAGTAATTTAATGAAGTAAATCAATTAAAAATTAAACTAAAAGTCAGTATCAGTTCCTGATATTTTAGAAGAGACAAAAGAAAGCATCAAAATTAACTAGTTAGATTTTACTTAATTTTAAAGAAAATTTGCCTAGAATAGAATAATCAAGATATAGGATTTGTTTAGTTAAAATCAAATCACAATTAAAGAATTAGAAAAAAATTGGTAAGCATAAATAACCCAAGAATCAGAATTAATAAAATCCATACAACATCCTGATAATAGTCAATAAAATAGAAGTGATTCTAAAGAAAACTTATTAAATTCTGTGGTCCATATCGAAAATTCTACTAGCCATTTACCTTTAATCTACATTATTGATTTGGCATCATTATGATAAAATTTAACTATTTCAAATTTATCAATTATATTTAAATACTAGATATATATTTAAAGTATGATAACTTTTTTAAATATTTGTATATCTTCTAAAAATTTCCAACCTTCTTTAAACAATATATTAAAAATTTTTTAGTTTAAGATCCCTAAATAAAATTTAAAATTTTTTGATTGTCATCAACTAAAAAACATAGAATAATAAATAATATAATATAAATTGACTATCCTGAGGAGGAGGATGAGAAATAAAAATTTTTTGAACTTATCCTATTTCATTTGGTAGGGTTTAATTAATATAGATATCTATTTCTCATTTATAATATTAATCACATTTAAGCATTAGGATGATGAACCCATGGCAATAGAGTTCCAAAAACAGCTTACAATAAACCATGATTTGCATTAAGAGGATTAAAATTGCCAGGAAGTTATTGTTAAGGCTGTTATTATTAGGCTCCAATATTTTCAGCAAATATATTGTTGAAATCTAATCTATGTAAAAATATAAATAGATTATACCTTTCAGGATTCTCTAAGAAGTGACTTTTAGATAGTTCCTTGTATCTTCTATATTGGAAAGGAATCTCATTATAAATTGTTGTTCCTTCTTTAACAACAGTCAGATCTTCATAAAAAGAACCAAGGTCTAACTTTTGGTTTTTAATATGATTAACAATCAATCCCAAAGCACTAATCAAATATTTATATATAAGATACCCTTTAATCCATTTAAGAATTTCATTAGATTTCCATTATGATTTACTTTTTTCAACAAAAATACTAATAGATTTTAAGAATCCATCATTATCATCTTCTGCATCTAATTATAAGAACCAATGTAAATAAGTTTCTCTTTATAAAAATTCTTCAGTGAGTAATTCTTTAAAAGGTTTCCTTTGATTTTCAATAAAACTATCTAGATTTCCAACATTTTATTTGATGAATTCATTGCTTTCTGATAATTATTTAAGAACAATTGGATATAAAAGAATAGCTTAAATGATTAGAACCTAATGTGATGCTTACAAAGGATTAGGACCGAAATTATTAATAGCTTCATTTATGTTTTCATCTTTAAAAGAGTATTGATGATTTTCTCCTTTTTCTAAGAATTTAGCTAAGGCACAATTATAAATTATATTTGGCATAAAAACAATAGAGGATCTATTAGTTTTATAGACACATCTAACAAAATTGGATGCAAAGTTAATCAAGTATTCATATTGTTAGGCTTTAAGTGCATTACAATCGATAAGAAAAAGAGCACCACATGGATCTTTTGTTGGACAGAATTTTAGCAATATTTTTGAATACCTCAATTTAATATATAGATTACTCTAAAGCTGCTTTGTAACATCCTTTCCTTGTTAAAACATCAGTAAATTTAAATAAGGACATTAGAAATACTTTGCTATGAACATTGTCTTCTATTTCAAGATTAACTGAAGCATTTTCAAAGAATTTATTGAATCCATAACCCAAACTAGATTCATAAATATAAAGTAATCTTTCCAATAGCTCATTTGCTTATTTATAATCTCCTTTCAATCTAAAGTATTCGCTGACATCGAATTATGCTTCACAATGAGATGGATTCATTTATAAGAAATTGAAAATAGCTTATGGATCATAATACCCTTTAACAATTGTATAATCTTATTAAAGTCTCTCATACTATTGGGAAGCAACCAAACTAAATAATTATAAACCTTGTTCGTTTAAATTTTCAAACTTTACATTAAATTTATCTGGCAATGGAATATTAATATCTGGATTATATGTTAGGTATTATTATTTGGTATTTTTATGAGTTTTCTTTTAAGTACCACCTGCAATTTTAGCATTTTTGAAATGTTATTGTAATTCTTTATTATAATTTAATCTCTTAATATTAATAGCTAGAGGACCATTTTCATCAGAATCTTAAAATTGTATTAGTTATTATTATTGTTATTGTGTTTATTCTGCCTAAACTTTATCAAGAAATTCAAAATCTTCATCTTAATTTTATTAAGGTTATTAATCAGATTCTTATTATTATTTTTTTTCTTTCTTCTTTTTATTTTTATTTTTCTTTTTCTTTTGATTTTTGTTAGATTGTTCATTTTATGTTTGAATAGTTTATTCAGATTAATTAGTTTAACTTTCTTCATTTTATTATTCTGGATTTTATTCATCTTCTGAATCTGACATTTCCATCATTTAAAATACTTATTTTTACTTTTTCTATTGTTCTATTTGATGAACTTGTTTTACTAATTATTCATCGACAATTTCTTTAGGTTCATTTTGTTCCATTAGTTTTTTCATTTATCTCCTCATGTTTATTCTTTAATAAATATCTGTATTAAATAATTAATATAATTCAATCATCTACAGCGTAAATTAGTCTGAAAAAGTAAAATTTAAAACAAAGAATTAATGCTACGTTGAATACTATGATAGGTATGGCTATCATAAGAGCAGGTTTGCTTTTTTTAATAAAACTATGAAATAATATTAAATAAAATTTACTCCCATAAATTAACCAATAAGAAAATGGTACTGTTGGCAAGTCCACTCATTAAAAAGAACCATTAGGCTTCATTATAAGGAATGATGCATAAAATAAGTACAAAAATGTATACACTTAATGAATATCCATACATACAGACAATATCAAATACTCCTAATTCACTTTTTAAAATATATTTCATAATAACACCTAATATAATGGGTATTACAAATGCCATAGCATAGACTAGAAAAACAGCAACATACATATAATTATATTCGTATTAAAAATGTTTTTTATCTTCTTCTAATAAAAAGCGAGATAGATTTCCTCCTGCAAATAAAATAAAGATAATCGTGGTAGAAATCCATAATGGTCCCCATAAATCAGGGTTTTTGGCAACACATTATTAAAATTCAGGTTTCCAAGATAAAAGTGAACAACGAACTCTCATGTATACATCTCTTTATTCAATATCAAAGAATTTCTAATAGTATTCAACTGTGCAGATTGGACATGCAGAAGGTTTAGGTTTTGGTTCAAATTTAACTTTGATTTTAGGTTATTCAGTCATTACATGTCCTTTTTCATCCAAGTCATCCTAGTTTAGATATGTAATACATTAGATCCAAAGTTTTGCATTATTATTATTATTTTAATATAATTATATGCTTTTCTTGATTTCATTAATTGGAATTGTATATTCGACATAATTAACACTTGTGAAACCTTCTTTGATTGTTCCATCTACAAAGAATGATTCAATACCTGTAAATGTGGCAGATTTTGGCTATGTTCCATATGGAAGATCAGTGAGTGGAAACTTAACCTATATAGAAAATACTTGTAATCCACTTAACATAACTTTGAATTCAACTATTGTATTGACTATGGGATCAAGTTGTAAATTTTTATCTTAAGCAATGAATGTCTAATTAGCAGGTGCTAAAATGCTTGTCATTGTATATAATCACGAAGAAGACATTAGTAATTTTTTATTAATTGCTGAATATGGTTCAGAATAATCATTTATACCAACTATGATGATTAATAAAGTTGATGGTGAATTTTTAATAGAAAAATTGAAATCATTTCCTGATATCTAAGTATCAGTCACCTTTGAATTGAAATAACAAAAAATTGTAGATTTATAATACTTTTTATCATCTTTTGATGTATTCTCATATTTGTTTCTTGAAGAATTCTTTCCATTTGCTAAATAAATGATAAATCAATTGACTTTTAATCCTATTTACATTCAATTTTATTGTAAAGAATGTGAAAAAACAGGATATAAAGCTACTAATCAAAATTGTATTAGTGGTGGTAGATATTGTGCATAAGATCCAGATTTAGATGGTCCTTTAACTGGAAGAGAAGTTATTATGGAAGATCTTAGATAATTATGTATTTTATAATAAAATGATCTAATTACTTGGTGGAATTATATGATCCTATTTAATTAGTTTTGTTTCAATGATTATCAAGATTGTCCTTCTACAATTATGAAATCAATCTCAATTAATGAAACCAAAATCAATTATTGCATAACCGATTCATTTACAGGAAATGATACATTATATGATGATAATATTATCTTAAAAGAACAAAGATAATAAATTATGAGAAATCATTAAGTTTATTGGCCATCATTATTTATTAATGGAGAATTTTATAAAGGAGATCTTTTTCTTAATAATGTTGATGAAAGTACTATTTTTAATGTTGATGATTTTGCTGTTCTTGAAGCCATTTGTGATGCTTTCCTTGCTGAATTTAGACCATAATTATGTGATACTACAGGATTTTTCTCCATTAAAGAAGGAGAACTCACAGATTGTAATTTTATTCTATTTATTATTAGAAAAAAGTCCTATCATCACAGTTCTTATTTGGGTTGGAATTTCTTTATTCATATGTTTTTTCTTATTTGCCTCCTTCCTTTTAATAAGAAGAATGATGTTAAAAAAAGTTAGAGATGATATAGGATCTTAAGTTGATAATCATCTAAAAAACTATTTTAGGATGCCATAAGCTCAATGAATAATTTATTAATNCTTTGAATTCAACTATTGTATTGACTATGGGATCAAGTTGTAAATTTTTATCTTAAGCAATGAATGTCTAATTAGCAGGTGCTAAAATGCTTGTCATTGTATATAATCACGAAGAAGACATTAGTAATTTTTTATTAATTGCTGAATATGGTTCAGAATAATCATTTATACCAACTATGATGATTAATAAAGTTGATGGTGAATTTTTAATAGAAAAATTGAAATCATTTCCTGATATCTAAGTATCAGTCACCTTTGAATTGAAATAACAAAAAATTGTAGATTTATAATACTTTTTATCATCTTTTGATGTATTCTCATATTTGTTTCTTGAAGAATTCTTTCCATTTGCTAAATAAATGATAAATCAATTGACTTTTAATCCTATTTACATTCAATTTTATTGTAAAGAATGTGAAAAAACAGGATATAAAGCTACTAATCAAAATTGTATTAGTGGTGGTAGATATTGTGCATAAGATCCAGATTTAGATGGTCCTTTAACTGGAAGAGAAGTTATTATGGAAGATCTTAGATAATTATGTATTTTATAATAAAATGATCTAATTACTTGGTGGAATTATATGATCCTATTTAATTAGTTTTGTTTCAATGATTATCAAGATTGTCCTTCTACAATTATGAAATCAATCTCAATTAATGAAACCAAAATCAATTATTGCATAACCGATTCATTTACAGGAAATGATACATTATATGATGATAATATTATCTTAAAAGAACAAAGATAATAAATTATGAGAAATCATTAAGTTTATTGGCCATCATTATTTATTAATGGAGAATTTTATAAAGGAGATCTTTTTCTTAATAATGTTGATGAAAGTACTATTTTTAATGTTGATGATTTTGCTGTTCTTGAAGCCATTTGTGATGCTTTCCTTGCTGAATTTAGACCATAATTATGTGATACTACAGGATTTTTCTCCATTAAAGAAGGAGAACTCACAGATTGTAATTTTATTCTATTTATTATTAGAAAAAAGTCCTATCATCACAGTTCTTATTTGGGTTGGAATTTCTTTATTCATATGTTTTTTCTTATTTGCCTCCTTCCTTTTAATAAGAAGAATGATGTTAAAAAAAGTTAGAGATGATATAGGATCTTAAGTTGATAATCATCTAAAAAACTATTTTAGGATGCCATAAGCTCAATGAATAATTTATTAATAAATATCAATAATTTCAATATTCAAAAAATTCTAAATTACTAATGTTTTATCATACATTCAAATAATTCAATTCAATAATTTCTTTACTACATCATGATAATTAATTAAATTGTAATTTGCTAATTATATTAAACTTATAATTTCATTTTATATCTACAGTATGCTTAAACAAATGAGTATAATAGGTTTTTACTTTATTTGATATTTACACTATTTAAATATATTACAATTCTCGTTTCTATTTTTTTGGATTTTTATATATATACAACAGCTTCTTTAAAACGCTGATTGTTTTTTCTATACAATAATTTATAGTGATGTTTTTAGATATTATAATAAAATTTATTTCTTTTATCAGTCTATTTGATAAAATATCTTAATAATTCAACAAAATATTTTTTTTTGAAGTTTCCTTTTGTTTTCTGCTTAGAGAGATAATCTAAAATTTTATAAAATCAATAAGGAAATTTGATTTTGCCCAAATCAAGGAATAACATCGATTTTAATACCTTAAAATTAGTTTCTACAATCTAAACAATTAATTGTAAACTTTAAAAAATTATGATTTCTAAAAATTAAAAAGTTTATTTATTCTAAACCATCATTACTTAATGAGAACTAAAGTATAAATATTCATTAAGTATAATTAAATGTACTAAACTTGATAACCATATAAATTAATTTAAGAGTTGGTGTAAATACATTAAAATTAATAGAGCATGATTAATGTTATTAATTCAAGAAATTAGATATGATAATCTAAAAAAAGTGTATAAAAAGATTAAAAAATCATTAAAATGAAATGAGACTTCTTCCCACTTAAATTTCCATTCCTCTTTAAATTTATATTTTTTCAGATCTGATTAAATGTAAGGTTCCAAATTTAGAATGATTATCAAAAAGATAAACTTTTTTATCTTGAACCTAAAATCTAGCATGATTTCGACTGACAGATATATCATTTACTCTTATGTCAGTCTCATTTGATCTTCCAACCTTTAATTCTAAAACATTTGAAAACTTCAAAATGTATATTCCTGAGCTTTTATTACATTCCAATTATTATCCCTTAATATAAGATATATAAATCATACTTATTTATTTGTGAATTCCATCATCAAATAAGGGTAATCATTTGGTTTGCTTAACTCTATTAAATCATAATAAGCATCATCACTTTTGAATTTTGGAGGATAATTAAATTTACACAATTCACATTCCAAATTCTTCCATAAATAAACTATACAATTTTCACTTTATCGATTTTCTAACTTCATTCTTAACCAAGTTTTTAAGCATTCCAAATGAATATATTTAATTGATCCACAGCATTTACATGGATTCAATAATGGGTTTTTAAGACTTTTCTGAGAAGAACAACAAATTCTACACATTATTTATTCTGATTCATTTGATAATGATGATTCACACTCAGATCTCTACTCCTATGATTTTATATCTAATGCTATTTAACGTATTGTAAATTTCACTCTTCCTAATTTTATAACATCTCCTTCTTCTAAAAGTATTCCATTTTCATGTATTACTTTCCAAATCTTATTTCCAATATTATCTGAAACAGTTCTTAAAATATTTATTATTTTAACTTATTTACTAATGTATGAAATTCCTCTTTTTCTTATATCACTTACATCTTATCAACATTTTGAAAATTTGGGTTTACTATAAAATAGTTTTCATTTTTTTTTTTTATTTTACAAACCTCATCCTTTATTATTGAATCATTCTCTATCCATTCTATTTAATTACGACCTCTTAAATATCCTTCACTATTTATCTAAAATTGTAATTCATTCTATTATACTGTAAATTTTTATTCCTAGACATTAGCAGCATTCTCATAATCAAATAATGAAAATGCTTCCTTTTACCAAGTTTTAACTAGAATCATTAGTTTTCCACAATCTACGCTATTAGTTTAACTAAGACTCTTTTAATAACATTATCCTTAACAATTTCCCATATTAAATTTATTAAATTTATGATAAGTGAACAAAAAAAAACTAGTTCTGATTCCTAAATCTTTTATTTAATATATTAAATAACATTACAAATTCTAAGTTGAAATATACTTTAAAAGACTTTACTAAATTTTTAATCATTTATTCTTTGTTTTATTTAAGATCATCAGATAAAATATACTCTTAAAATTAATTTCAAGATATTCTTAAATGATTCCAATTAATTTTTATTTTAAATTTTACATATAAAATGTAAAATATTTTGAGAATGTAGAAGTTCAAGACTTATTTTAAAATAAATATCAAAATAAATCATCTTTAAGAATCTTAATTGTAATAGATAGCATCAAATAAACAATTATTTCAATTTAAAATTGAGGTATTCTCTTATAATTTGAGTATAATTTATAATTAGCAATTTAATTAAATTTGTACTTTTTTCAAGGCCAAAAAGACTTTTTAAGATTGTAAAATATAAAATCTAGTCTCCTACGAGACATGAATTAATTAAACAAAAATAATTTTCTAATATAATTTTCGTAATAAATCGTTAAATTTGAATGGAAATAAATGGATAAGAAGATTGCATATAGTTAAAGAAAAATGTAAATTCATCTCAATATAAATAGTTTCTTATTAAGGAAAATGAATGGAAAAAAGATAAGGCTCTGTACGAATAGAAGATTTAGTTATTGGAATTATAATTGGAAGATTACAAATTAAGAGAAATTAATTAAAAGAAACTGAATGATACAATAACATAAGCTATAGATATTTCTGGAAAAACTTAAGTATGATTCTCCTTTTAATATTGAAGTAAAAAAGTTATTCTGAATTTCAAAAATCAATGGAAGTATAATTTTCTAACAATAAAAAATATTAAGAATGTATTACAAAATTAGAAGAGAAGGTAAATTTAGTTTATAATAAATAGCTTAGAGGTTTAAATGAATAACTAAACGATAAAGAAAATTAATTTAAAGATCTTGAAATATTATAATAAAAATAGCATTTTACAAATGAACACAAATTCTAAGCTTTGGAGTAGGAAAAATAATAATTGTTGTAGGAAGTTTGTAAATTAAAAGATCAATTATAAAAAATTGAAGATAACTACAAGTCTAAAGAGCAATTATTGAAGTTATAATGTGAATAAGAAATCTAAAAGATGAAAGACAGTTCTTTTAAAGATATGTAGGAGAAATAATTAGATTACGATTAAAGATATTAATAATTGGCTTAGCTATATGAAAAAGAAAAAGATTAATTGTAATAGAGATTAATCAAAAGTTAAAATACAATTAAAAAATATTAAGAACATATTGAATCAAAGGAGAATTAGCAATTGCTTTAAAAATATGTCGATGAAATAGCTGAATTAAAATAATAAATAGAGGAATAACAGATATAATTTTAATAAGAAAAAAGTATAATAAAAAAATAATTAGAAGACTTGATGAAGTAAATTAATTATTTTTATTTAGCTCTTAAAATAATTATGATAGTAATTAAAAAAAGAGAAGTGTAGAAGTTTAATAGATGAGAAATTCAGTGATTTCACAAGATAGTCCTATTAAATGTAAAAGTATTCATATTTCTTAACCTGAAAACAAATAGCCTACATAATAACCAAAAATTTAAATAAACCCTATAAATAAATCTAATGAAAAATAAAAATAAATACAATATAACAATTTATCTTTTGAGAAAATAAGAGCAAATAATTAAGATACCATTCCTATATCAATTGATGAATATAATTCTAAAATGAGTAAAAAATCAAAATCACAATCCACTAATTCATTATAATACCAAAATAATAATTTATATTCTTACTTTTAAGAAGCTAGCATTATTAAAGATGAATTAGATAATGGAGATGAATTTATAAAACATAAAATGTCTCATCAATTAACTACAAGATATAACAACAATGAAATTGAATAAAGAAGATCTCATTCTTAGTAAGGATTTAGTAAAAATAATTTGTAATCAGTGAACAATCTTAGTAAAATGTTGATATAGCCTGATCTATGTAATTTAAAATAAGCAACTTAATTAACTACTTAATAAAAGACTCATAATACATCATTCTCTCATTTTAAAGTACCTGTATTTACTTAAAGTTAATTAAATAATTTAAAACATAGTTTAAATTAATAGCCATGGACGACATTAAGAAAAAATGATTCACATCTTAATCAAATTTAGTCGATTAAAGCAAGATTTAATAATTAAGAAGAAACTATTCAAAATGATAATGGAAAAACAAAAAATGTAATATTTTTAATAGCAGTAGAATAAAGAGAATCAATATCCTCCAAAAAGTGTTCATATCAATAATGAGATTAAATTTCTAATAGGGAAGCTCTTATAGGCCAAAGGGAAATTGTAATCAGAATTAGAGAATACTTAAAAGTCATGCAGATTTAGAACTTGAATAAAATGAATAAATATAGATAGATATTTACTAATTTTTATTGGTTTTTTATTTCATTAAATAGAAAATTATTTTGGATGATTATGTGCCAAATTTATGATAAATATTTTTATTCCTAATTCATTATATTTTTCTTTATTTTCATTCATATTTTATATATAAGTTTGATTTTATTTTCACTAAAATATAACCATAAAATTCAATATTAAGTATATCACCTAAAGAGTTTTCTATTAAAAAGTTGAAACAGATACAAGAACTTTAAAAAAATGAGAGTAACTATTCTTAATTGATGGTAGAATCCTACTAATTTTCCAACACAGTAATGTTGAAGAAATTGTATTATATTATTTATTATTATTTTAATATTATTTAAATATATTCCATTTTTTTAAAAGAATATTTTTGAATACTTAGTGTTCAGATGATTAAATTTTAATTTTATTTGAAAACTTAGCAACTTATTTAGGTTGAAAACTTTATTTTATGATATAATTTCTCTAAACTTTTCATATTAATTTTCCAAAAAATGGCATCATAATCATCATAATCATCATTTTTATCATTTTCAAAATTATTTAGTTTAATCCACAATTTTTTTCCAAATTTAGAGAACATTTATGCAAATGGATTTTCCTACATTTACTCATTACCCTTAAAGATAAGATTTAAAGCGCTAGGTTCTCCACTATCACAAAATGAAAATGCAAAAATAGAATTATCGATGAAATTTAATCCAAATATTTGCTGAAGTTTATTGATTTTAGAAAGATCATTTTAATTTCGAAATCGCATCACTGATAAAAAAACAAAACAAATTAAAGTAATATACTTCATTTAAGTTATTAAAAAGTTTAAAATCTCTTTCAAAGATGTTTCATCTTTTTCATCTAATTTAAAGCAATTTGCTTCAATAATTAATAATTCTGGTTTATCATTAAAAGGAGGAATATAGTAAGTTATAATCTCACTCTAAGGTAAATTTGAAAACCTGCTCTTAGTATCACTAAATATGAATCGATAATTATCTTCGAATTATATTTAAAAATGATAATTAAGAATAGAATTTATTACAGATGTTTTTCCTACCCCGCATGGCCCAATAATCAAAATAGTTTTAATCTCATTAGGTTGTTAAGCAAAATATTTTGCATAATTTGGAAATTACAAAATCTATATATTACCATTTTTTCTAATTAGTTTACTTTATTTAATACAATCTTCCTAAGTTTTAATTTTTTAGATCTTAAAATCATTTATTTAATCAATTTTATCAGAAGTTTATCCAGGATAGAAATTAGGTAAATTTTAGTTTTAATTTTTGATTATATTTTCTTTTTAATTAATACTCCTAATCTTTACTATTACTTCATTCGTTTTCTAAATAAAAGAATTAATATCTTGGTCCCACTAAGTCTAAATCTTTTGCAACTCAGTCATAAATTAATTCTTCTTATAGTTCCAATCATCTAACGTAGTTTCTTCTATAATTGAGACTAATCTTTCTAAGTCAGCATAGGATGATTCTGCTAAATTAGTATTCTCATTGATAAGATTAGAGTATGAATTGTTTTCCTGTTCTATCCAATCATATGTATTTTATATTGATTTCTATAATTCATCCCAAATTTTCTTAAGGGTATTTTCGGTTTGAGAGATCAACTATTTAAAAGTCTATCTCTATTTGGCTATCTTAGATGTCTGATCTAGCTAGGATTCTTTTAATTTTTTGATAGCCATTTCTTTAAATTTATTTATCAGAACTGTTTAATTGGCGATATCCACTCCATGGTTATAAAGACATTCAATGCAGAGTTTTCTTTGACATGGGCACTTGTGAGGAGCTATACATATTGAAGTAATTTGATTGCGAATATGATAAATGCACTGCATAATCTTTTTTTTTTTAAATTTTGGATTTCTTTTATTTTAAGTTTATAATAAAAATCAAAAAAAGAATCTTATGAAATAATATTAAGCTAAATTCAAAAACTTTATGAAGATTTCGATTTGATAACAAATGTTTTTTAGAATACATCATGATATAATAAAAATATAAATTATAATGTATTAATTCAATGATTTTATAGATAAATGTCTAAAATAAATTATCTTTAATTCTCTCTACCATTCCTTTTTTTTATACATCACTAGTCAAAAATTCACTTTAACTATCAATATTAATAATTCCCCTTACTCCTAAAAAATGTTTGTATAAAAATAAGAAAATATAAACGATATTCTAATTATTGAATAGTACTACTTTTACAATCCTTTAAGAAACCGGTTACTAACCTTAAATGCAATAAAGTTAGATATTTATGTGATTTAAGAAAGTTAAACGAATTCTAATTATTAGTTNAAAATCATTTATTTAATCAATTTTATCAGAAGTTTATCCAGGATAGAAATTAGGTAAATTTTAGTTTTAATTTTTGATTATATTTTCTTTTTAATTAATACTCCTAATCTTTACTATTACTTCATTCGTTTTCTAAATAAAAGAATTAATATCTTGGTCCCACTAAGTCTAAATCTTTTGCAACTCAGTCATAAATTAATTCTTCTTATAGTTCCAATCATCTAACGTAGTTTCTTCTATAATTGAGACTAATCTTTCTAAGTCAGCATAGGATGATTCTGCTAAATTAGTATTCTCATTGATAAGATTAGAGTATGAATTGTTTTCCTGTTCTATCCAATCATATGTATTTTATATTGATTTCTATAATTCATCCCAAATTTTCTTAAGGGTATTTTCGGTTTGAGAGATCAACTATTTAAAAGTCTATCTCTATTTGGCTATCTTAGATGTCTGATCTAGCTAGGATTCTTTTAATTTTTTGATAGCCATTTCTTTAAATTTATTTATCAGAACTGTTTAATTGGCGATATCCACTCCATGGTTATAAAGACATTCAATGCAGAGTTTTCTTTGACATGGGCACTTGTGAGGAGCTATACATATTGAAGTAATTTGATTGCGAATATGATAAATGCACTGCATAATCTTTTTTTTTTTAAATTTTGGATTTCTTTTATTTTAAGTTTATAATAAAAATCAAAAAAAGAATCTTATGAAATAATATTAAGCTAAATTCAAAAACTTTATGAAGATTTCGATTTGATAACAAATGTTTTTTAGAATACATCATGATATAATAAAAATATAAATTATAATGTATTAATTCAATGATTTTATAGATAAATGTCTAAAATAAATTATCTTTAATTCTCTCTACCATTCCTTTTTTTTATACATCACTAGTCAAAAATTCACTTTAACTATCAATATTAATAATTCCCCTTACTCCTAAAAAATGTTTGTATAAAAATAAGAAAATATAAACGATATTCTAATTATTGAATAGTACTACTTTTACAATCCTTTAAGAAACCGGTTACTAACCTTAAATGCAATAAAGTTAGATATTTATGTGATTTAAGAAAGTTAAACGAATTCTAATTATTAGTTACAACAGTATATATTTTTTTCTTAGATTGTATTAATAAATTATTTTATAAAAATTATCAAAAAGTTATTTACAAACTAAAATCAAGGTCATTAACAAATCTCTATAACAGAGAATTAAATAATCCTTCTTATTCACATAACAATTGAGTTCAGATGTTTATTTTCCATATATTTATTGTTTTTATTTAAAATTCGAAACCTATATTTAGTTGAAAAAAGATTTTTTAAAATTTCCCCATTTAATTTACATAATAATTTTCAAAGCCCATAGTTAGTTAGTAAATTTTCTAAAAACATTACAGATATTCAATAGATTATTTATTCTATTGGTTTAATTATATTATTAAAGGAGTGATCTTAATGAAAAACACAAAAGTATCATATTGAATGAATCTGAATTTTTCTGTTTTAATTTATAATATAAGAGAGTACTTGAATAATTGTTTACTAAACAAATTATTTCATTATGGTTGGTTTGTTTAATTCTTTTTCTTTTATATTTCCATCTTAATCTTTTGGCTCGCTAGAATTCATTTATAAATTTTTTATAATTATATTATTTTTTTTTTCCATTAACATAAAATATTAAAATGTCAGACGGAATATTTGTCTCGATCATGTTGCCAGCTTTTTTAGTTAAACATGAGAATTAAATCGTATATTTACTTTATATCGTCAAAGGAATAACTATTAAAACAAATACTTTGCATCTCTTCTTAATCATATGAAATATTTGAAATTCCATCAAAGATTGGCAAAGAGTTTGGAGTTAAATTAATACAAAATTGTAACACTAACCAAAAAATTAATTAGCATTAAATCTTCGAGATATTGAAGAATTAATAGAGGAGAATAGATAACTCCATGCATCATATTAAAAATGTAAAGAATCTTTGTAAACTCTAAATTATGAATTTGAAAAAATAGTTAACGATCCTTTGATTCAAACTGAATCTGACAAAATTAAAAATTAAACCAAAAAGTTAAAAAAAGTAAAGGAAGAAAATAAAAGACTTCGATAACTTTTAAAGTGCAAAATTTATGAATATTTTAGATCATATCTTGATAATAGCGATAATCGAAGGATGGAAACACATGCCAAAGTCGAGTTACTAAAGGATGAACTACATTCATTAGTGAAAGTAAAATAACTATCCCTATCATAAGGAATTTGCACAGTAAGAACAACAAAAGAAATAAAATGATATTTTAATATCAAATTGATTTAGACTATACAATTGAATCTTTTCTTCTTTGAGTCATTTGAATATTATTGTCATAAATTCTGAATTATTGTCTATTATATTTAAAAATAACAGAAATGGAGAATGATAAATAATCTTAATTTGAAGATCATATATTATAAAGATTTACGCTACTAGAATTTAAGGGCAAAGGAGCATATGGAGTAGTATGGAAAGCACATGATAAATAAACTAAATAAATAGTTGCTTTAAAAAAAGTGTTTAAATAATGATATCGCTTAGGTATTTGATGCATTTCACAATAAAACTGATTCATAAAGAACATTTAGAGAAGTAATATTTTTGGAACAAGTTTCAAAAAATGCAAATATCATTAAATTGCTTTAAGTGATAAAAGCTTAAAATAATAAAGACTTATACATGGTTTTTGAATATATGGAAACAGATTTGCATAAAGTATATAGATTAATAAAATTAGGTTATAAGAGCAAATATATTAGAACCAATCCATAAAAAATATGTTGTCTATTAATTATTAAAGGCAATAAAATTTTTGCATTCTGGAGACATAATACATAGAGATTTAAAACCAGCAAATTTATTGATAAATGCTGATTGTATAGTAAAGTTAGCAGATTTCGGATTAGCTAGAACAGTGAATACATCAAGTGATGAAGATGGTAAATATAAAATTAGAATTATAAAAAGTTCCCATATTAACCGAATATGTGGCTACTAGATGGTATAGAGCACCAGAAATACTTTTAGGTTCATAAAAATATTCAAAAGCAGTAGATATGTGGAGTATAGGGTGTATTTTAGGAGAAATGATTATTGGCAAAGCAATATTTCCAGGAACTTCAACAATGAATTAAGTTGAAATGATATCAGAAATTTTAGGAACTCCAACAGAAGACGATATTAAATCAATAGCAGCTCCTTTGGCAGAACATATTTTAGATAACTTTTAATTTGTGAAACCAAAACATTTTAAGACTATTTTTAGTTAAGAAAGTGATGATACTTTAAGTTTCTTAAAAAATCTGTTAGTTTTTAATCCTTAAAAAAGATTAACAGTAGAATAAGCATTAGCTCATCCTTATATGGCTGAATTTGCAGGTTCAGAAGAAGAAACAGTTATAGGTAAATTACATTAAGTAATTTTATAGACTTTCCAGTCTAAACTTTTATGGATGATAATGTGTAATATAGTATAGAAGAATATATGACAGTACTTTATTAACATATTAATCATAAATCATAATAAATCTAACATTAAAATTGGTTTAGTTCTCAATAATCTCCAACAAATGCCAGTAAACCTCCTACTACAATTTAGTAATCAACTACTCCTACTAGTGTTTAGGATAAAAGGTAAAAAAAGGGTGATTCTATTGAAGTTTTAAATAATAATACAGAAAACAAACATATTATAAAATAAGAAGTAAAAAAAAAAGTAAGTGAAGATAATCTAAATTAAAAAATGAGTGCTTTCGAAAAATTCAAATCTATTGAAAATATGATTAAAATGTAAAAAGCTAAATTAGGTACAAGCAATGGTTAAATATCAGTATAAAATAATTCTAAATTATAATATGGCAACAAATCTGTCAATATTACAAGAGCTGATAGTTAAAAAAAAAAGGAAGCTTCTTGTGTACTTAAATTTTTTTTGATTTTAATAGGAAATACAAATTCCAAGTCCAGCTGCTAAATAAAAGATTTAAAAAATTGTTAGTTAAAATACTTTTAAGGATCCAACCTAAAAAATATAAACTATTAAATCTCAATCGAAATTGCCAAAACATGAAAGTTAACATGATAAATTTTTAAACAAGAAAACTTATTTATAATATATTTTAAGTGGGAAAGCTAAACTTTAAAAATGATTTTATAATTTACATTTTATAATATTGTTTGAACATTTTTGTGCTTATTTTTGTTCATTCATTTAGATTTAATGTTAAATAAATTTAATAAATGATGTCTTCAACTTCCTCAAGGTTAAAATAAAATAGATAAATTTAGGCTCATTAGTCCAAGATAAAACTTTTAGTTAAAATATACTAAAAGTATTTGTAAAGAAACAAAATATCGTCTAAGAACTGCTCGACATAATTAATTAGAAAGATTTATTATATAAAAACATCATCCAGATGAAATTAAAAAATGTAATACTAGTTGTCATTGTGATTATTGTGGCAAAATGAGTGCGTTTTAAATAAAGGTTTGGAGATAAATACCTTCATATGAATCTGTGTAAAATCAAAAATTCAATTCATTGATTATAGTTTTTCTAGACGAAAAAGAGTTTTTAAACGCTTTAGAATAGCAGGCTATGCTGCATAATTCTTAGTTTTCTACAGGGCTGAACAAATTAAAAAATAGAAAAGACTAAAATAAATGTCATAATTCCTTAGAAATCCTTTGATATGTAATAAAAGAGGAACCATGGTAGTTTAATCGGCTAAATCTCACAGATCTCCTAAATCTCCATTACAATTAGATAATAAATTTAGGTTTAACTTTTCATTCATTTTTTAGGAGAAATGCAACTGATTAATTTGAAATTGACTCTATCAAAGAAAAAATGTCATTCAATGATCATTGTAGTACTCTAATAGTTTGTTAAAATCAAAGTATTAAAAAGAGATAACTTTCATTGTATATGGAAGAGATGTTAAAAAATATCACAACTAAATAAAGTATTGGAATGAGTCTTACTCCCCTTTCAATAATTGTATTACTTTTACTATGCAAATAATAGGATAAAAAAATGAAGAAGAATAAATCTATACCTTGTATTACAGAATAAATCTCTCCAAAAAATAGTCTAGACAATCTTTAGCTTGAAAAACTACTTACTCCTTTGAATCTTCTTTAGAGGGGTAAAAGAAATCGATCACATGTTCAATTATTTAATAATGAATATTCTAATAACAACAAAGAAGTTATAAAAATGATTGATAACCTAAAGATAAAGCATAGATAATTAAAAAGAAAAAATTGATTTTATACTCTTTCTTGTTAATCATTTTAATTTTTTAATTTCAGACACAAGATCATACTCACCATTAAGTAATCTTTATCTGAATTCTGCATTTCTATCAATCAATTTAACAACTGATTTAACTTTATCCATGTAATTCTATACAGATTATTTATAAAGATCATAAATTGTTTATTCAATTGTTTTAGACCATTCTACGTTTTCATTATCTGTCGATGAGAGGAAATATTTTTTTAAGCCTTCAATTGCTTTTTTTCTCTTATCATCATCTACTGGTTCACCAATTCCATTTTAACTATTATTATTTTATAACTTGGCATTAATTTAATTTCCATTTTTATGCTAGATTGGTTTAATCTCTTTTTTTTCTGGTTCTTGTTTTACTTTTTTTTTTATTATAGCATCATCATCTTTTTGTATTTATTTTTATTTTTAGATATTTCTTTGTACATCTTTCAAATGATCATTTTTTTTAATTTCATCAGTTGCAGCTTGATCATTTGTTAAAATTAATTATTTCCATTATTTCACTAATTTACGACATATTTTAATAGCCTTAGCATATTTTTCTTCATCATCTTCTGTATATTTTTTTTATCCAATTCGTACAATGCTTTTTGTTATCTGACTATCAATTAAGGCTTAAGTCTCAATATCGCTTTTGTAAATTTAAGTAATTAATTTGTAAGATTTTAATATTGACACAGAAGAAAATTTCTAAAGTTCCTATTTAATTTCAGATAACTACTATGTATTTAACTCCATTTAATTAAATATTTATTTGATTTTGGTTGTAAAAAAACTAAGTATAAATATACGTGTCATAATATTAATTTTTATGAAAAAAAATAACAATATTCTTTAAAAGAATTTAGAAGAAGAAAACATTCTAAAATAGGATGAATTATTAGAAAAAGTTTAAAAAATAAAACATGTCTCATTAAACATACAAACTTATTTGAAAAATGAGAAGCCTTAATTAGACAAATTGAATAATGATTATGATAAATCAATTGATATGGTAAAAAAATCAATAAATGGAATTGGGAGTATAAAAAAAATTAAATATTTTAGAATTATTAAAATCATCATTTGGATAGAATACATGCTTTTTGATTTGTATTGTTTTTATGGTGATTTTTATACTTTATTTATTGTGAATTAATAAAATAGATATTTAATATATAAATATAAGGGTTTAATAAAAGGGTAAATGAATTTATGATATTCTAAATAGAATTTTCATGAATTTATATTATTAAGGATTCCTATTGAAAAGGTATATTGAAGAAATAAAAATAATGAATCCTTAATATAAAAATCATAATTAAATAATGTTTAAATTAATTCAAAGAGCTTGCTTCAGATATGCAGTTGCCAGTAGCAAAGCTGAGGCTGAAATAACATCAGTACCAGGTATTGATTATTGAGAAAGTAGGAAATAAGCCTCCTTCTTTTGAAGATACTGTATAAGGAAAATATGCTGGTGTGCTTTTCTCAACTGCATCTTAAAGGGAAGCTCTTCATTTAGTACTTTAAGATATGAAATACTTCAAAGATTTAGCAGAAAAGAGTCCCGTATTTGCAGGCTTTTTATTAAATTCTTCTTATAAGAGAAATCAATAAAGAAATGTAATATAGACATTAACAAAAGTAAAGAAATGATGTTATAAATATAGGAAGGATTTCATGAGGTTACTATAAATTTATTAAATACTATGATAGACAGTCAAAGAATTTCATATTTGACAAAGACAGCAGAGAAATATATTGAATATTATAGAATATTTAACAAAGAAGAAAACATAACAATAATATCAGCAGAAACTTTATCAGAAGAATAAAGGTATGAGAATATAAAAATGAGATAGATCCTAAGTAGTTGAGGCATTAAAATAATCAAATCCTAATGTTTAATTCTCTGTTTAATACAAAGTCGATGCATCAATTTTAGGAGGGTTATAAATGTATTCTGGCAACAAATTCTTAGATTGCTCATTATTGTCAAGAGTGAATAGATTGAGATCAGAGTTGTAGAAATTGAGCATTTGATTAAGAATAAATAATAAAATAATATATATATATTATTTATATAATAAAAATGGATTGTCTAAAGGATCCTGTTAATGATAGATAAGTAAAAACACTCAAACCACCTCCTCATCGTCCTCTTGCAAAAAATCTAATGTTTCCAGATAAATTAAAGAGTATGATAGATAAATTCACAAAAAATTAGATAAACCTGATTGGAAATTGTTAAAAGATCATCTTTAAAAAGAGGGTAGAATAGCTAAAGAGGAATTATTTAAATTAGTAGCAGATTGCAATAAATTATTGAGTAAACTAACAATTAATTTAATTATTAGAAAACGAAGGAAATGTACTTTATTTGTAAGATCCACTTACTGTTGTAGGTGATATTCATGGGTATTTAACTAATTAAATTAAGACAATATTATGATTTACTTAAATTACTTGAACCAAAGGTTGGAGGAAATCCTGAAACAACAAAGTAAAAGGATATTGTCAATAATTTAGATATTTATTTCTCGGAGATTTTGTTGATAGAGGATCTTATTCAATTGAAGTAGTGATATTACTTTATGCAATAAAAATAAATTATCCAAATACAGTATATTTTTTACGTGGGAATCATGAATGTAGATAACTAACAGCATTTTTTAATTTTAAGGATGAATGTTAATAAATGATTAATTTTTAGGTTTGTATAAATATGATTAAGAAACTTATGATATGTTAATGGATTCATTTGATTTGTTTCCATTATCATGCATAATTAATTCTAAATTTATAGCTGTTCATGGTGGTATATCACCTGATTTAAAATCTGTAACTTATATAATGAATATTAAAGATAGAAGATTTAAAAAAATTGGATAGATATCATGAACCTCCTAGAAGTGGATTATTTTGTGATATTTTATGGAGTGATCCTGTAGATTAAGATTAAGGAAATTTGGATGTATAATGGAAAGGTAATGAAGTTAGAGGATGCAGTTGGTTTTTTGGGAATGAAGCTAGTAATAAATTTCTATAAAAAAACAATCTAATTAGTATTATAAGAGCACATGAGGTTGTATATAATATAATATATATAGGCTCAACTTGATGGTTATAAAATGCATAGATGGAATGGAGGTCAAGATTTTCCAGTTGTAATCACAATATTTAGTGCTCCAAATTATTGTGATGTTTATAATAATAGAGGAGCTGTGATTAAATTTGAAGTAATTCTCCTTTAATTAATCTTTAACGTAGAATAATACTTTGAATATTCAACAATTTTAGTATACTCCTCATCCTTATTTGTTACCTAATTTTATGGATATCTTTACATGGTCCATTCCATTTGTAGCAGAAAAAATTACAGAAATGTTATATAATTTAATTTAAGCAGGAGATTAAGGTGATGATGATGATGATGTAAATTAAGAAGATATTGAACAATTTAAAATCTTAACATAATAAAATAAACAATTTAACAAATAATAATCTACAGGTAGTACTGGCAAAAGTATATCTATAATTAATATAAGGTACTGAAAAATTAAAAAACAAATTAAAGTTTGTTGCTACTATGATGAAGATGTAAAAAACACTTAGAGAATAAAGTGAAAGTATTATGAAATTAAAAGGCGCATGTCCTGATAAAAGATTACCAAAAGGAATATTATCAGCTGGTAAAACAGCTATTACTGATGGTATTCTATTTCTTATACTAACAATCTTTAAGCACTCGCTGATTTCAATTTCGCAAAAACTGCTGACATAGTTAATGAAAAAATGCCCTCATAAGCTTAAATACCTCAATAATCTGTGTCAATTAAGAAACCGAGTAATACTGTCTAAAACAAAAAGAAATGAGATAGTTTTTAGTAAATATATAAATATAAATAAAATTCAATTTTTAAACCAATTTATTTTCATAAATAAAATATAATGTAAGACAAATAAATTATTCAACTTTTTGAAAAATACTCTAAACTTAATGATCCAAAATTAGTGTTCCAAACAAGTGAATAGATTTTAGAAAGAGTAAATGAAAGTGATATAACCTTTGTTTTAACTAAAATTATGAATTGTTTGTAATCAACTGATTTCTACACTACAATTAATTATGCTCTTTTATTAAAACAATTAATGTAGAAGTACTCATCTAAAAATTAAAACTTATAATCAAAAGCTATTTTTGATTAATTGTAATAAACATTAAGCAAAAAGAATGCATATGGTAAAAGCGAACTTAAACATTTTATATTAACTAAATATTTGATTTATTCCTACTTAGATTCTTAAAATCTATTAAATATAATACTCGAAGATAGAAAAACTGAAGATTCAGAATACTTAACTTACATCCTATTGAAGAAACTGTATTCTTTTTAGAATTATTTATAGTAAACCTGAGAATGTTAAATAAGTTAGCAATTCAATAAAAAATGATCTTTAAAATTTAACTCCAAGAGTTTTTTGCATTTTGGTTAAGCTCCAACAATTGAGTTAATAAGGCTAATTCTAATGGGATAAATATCTTTAAGAATAAGTTTTTGATCGATAGAAATTTCACAAACTTCTTGAATAAGCCAACGATTAATTTCCAAAGAAATCATTATTCTATTAATACTTAGCTATTTATATGGAAAAAGTATATTATCTAATTAATAATCATAGTTTAGCAAAACTTAAGGAAATTAGAAAATATATACAGAATTTTGGGAATATTTATAATAACAATAAGACTTAAGAAAATTAAACTTTATGATTTTATCAATTTTCAAACATTTCCTTAAATCTACTACAATTCCCCTTTCTTTCTTGAGAAATCAATAACTCATTGAATTATGGTACAGACAATTTGGAAATTCTAATTCTGTAATGAAAAGATTAGCAAATAAGATTGAATAATATTTGACTTAAAGAGAAGTCGCTTATGATGATATTGTTTATTTGAGAAATATTTATGGTTATAGAATTCATCCCAAAAATGGAATTGCATAAAAAGTTTTGGCAAAGTTTACAGAAGATGAAGTAGTCCAATATTTTGAAAATATTAAATAATAAGAATAATCGTCTACTGATCCCATCAATAAACTTTATTTTTTGAATGAAATCTATGTACTTGCTACAGTTAGTAATATTAATGTAAAAAATTTGACATAAATGATTAAATATATTTATGAAATAGGTTGCATCAATTTTTAATCGATTTATGATCAATTAGATGAAGAGTCTAAAGAAGCATATCAATTTGAAGAAATTAAGAAAAAATTTTCAGATTAATGTTAAAGTTTCTTTTATTCTTTAGTTGGAAAAGTAGCTTCTGTAATTATTTATAAATTATAAGTAGAATACTTAAGAGTTTGATTAATTAACAAAGTCTCTCTTAAAACAATTAAAAAAATCAGAATTAACAAAATAATACAAATAGATAAATTCGAAGTAACCAAAAGAATGCATAAAACATTTAGTGAATACAATCCTTATTTTCTCTTGTTTAAATGAAGAAGAAGGTTTATAAATATTGGAAGAATTTTAACACATAGCTAACGATATTCAAGAAGAAGAACCTCAAATTAAAAAAAAGGTTAAGACAAATCCAGAAAAAGCAAAAGTAGTCCTTACTGAAGTATTTATATAATTATTGACTAAATCACCATGTAAAATAAATATCAATTTAAATTTAGAATTTTTAAGAGATGCTGTTAATTAATGTTGTAAATCTCTAGAATTTTCAACAGAGTGTTTTGAAATTCTAGTAGATGTATTATTGAAAGAAGATCATGAATATATTGCTGAGATGCAATAATAAGAATTAAATGATGAAGAAGGTGGAGATGAAAGCTTAGAAGAAGAGCAAGAAAACTAATGATTTTCATATATTAGTTGTTGTACATTAATTCTATAATTTACAATTTTATTTTGAAGACACATTTAACAAAATCTTGAAAGTTAAGATATTAAAGAATAAATTAAGCAAATTTGTTTAAATCTGACAAAATAAATTTCATAATATTTTAATTTTTTGATTTTATAGTGAAGTGGCAGTTTCATATAAAAATTTTATTTCTTTAATAAAAAAAAGAAATTTGAGATTAGAAGAGTAATTTTTTTAGACCTCAGAAGTTCTTGTTTAATTATTGATTCCATCTTAATTTTTAATTATGTTGTTATAAAATAGGACTCAATCAAGAAAATGAAGTAAATACTCAAAATAAAATTGAATTAGGTATTGATAAATAATTGGAGCCAAAATATTGAATGGAATGGAATGTCTTATTAAAAAAATGAATGGGATTATAAGATATATAAGTTTAAAATACATAAATTGTCAATTTTAATACTTTCTTTATAAATCTCTTTTTAATAGAATAGTTTTAAATAAATCACTCCATAATTTAAGTAGTTCTTTTCTTTTATTTATTTTATTCTTTTCAGCAATTTCAATTTGGAACTATTAATAAAGGGACATAATATTTTCATAATCCTCATTAAAAATCAAATAACCACATTTTTAAGCAAACATTCTTCCATTTTAAGAATCAAATCCATCTACTGCCTCAATAAATTAGTAATTATTTTTAGCTAACAAATGTTTTATTCCTTGTAATCTTATTAGACAAGTTCCTTTTGGAGGAGGAAAAGAAAATGTCTATTAATTTATTTGTCTAAATTATTTACTTCATAATTTCCATAGAAATTAGCTGGTAATTTTCCGTGATTTTCTTCCAAGCTGACCTTAAGATCATTTGTTTACCAAAAAGCATATAATGCAGTAGTTTTTGTCTTATCAAACTTTGAACTGACTTCTTTGATTGGTTTAGAATCAAGTTTAACTTCTCTTAGATAACCTCTCCATTTATCTCGTGAATGAAGAATTATTACATCACTTTATAAATAAATATCTTCATCTTTAAATTTCATTCCAGTGGGTTTTGCATCAGGATGGATCATCTAATATTAAGATAATTAAGATGCTAGAGTGTAATATTAACTATATTTAAAGTCTTTTTCATTTCCATAAACTCCAGGAGATGGTACAATCATATCTGCATTAATAGGTTCATTCACTAATGATTAAAGTCCTTTATAGATTAATTCTAAAATATTTATTTAAATACTTGTTTTTTAAGCCAATTGATTAAACCATCTTTCAAGAGACAATAAGTATCTTTGTGTTTAAAAATTTTATGAATATTTTTATGTGACATCAACAAAATGAGTATTTTCAAATAATCTGTTAGAATTAAAATTATAATCTTTAAAGGTTAAGTCTTAAGCTGCAATAATAAAATGACTGAAACTATTATGAAGTTTACTTTTTAAAATGTTACTATTCATTAAAACAAGCTTATCTGAAATTGGATCAAATGGAATCCATTAATTTTAGTCAGAATCATAAAATTCAAGCCAAATATTCTAATTTTATGTTTAAATCTCCTAATTAACTTATCTTTCATTTTGTTATTTTTTATTATCTTTTTTTTTCTGTTTTTTTGGTTCCTACTAAAAATCTATCAAACTACTGCTATTCATCGTTTAAGATTCTCTTTATAAATCTTGGGAAACTCTCAATCCTTTATCTTTTACATTAGATTTCTTAAAAACAAATTCATTTAAAGATTCAACTATTTCCGACTAAGTCAAATATTAGGAATTAAGATCAAATATAGTTTTTGTTTATTCCACTTCATCGATTTCTTAATCTGTTTTTTTTAATGTACGAATCTTAAATTTTAATTCTAAACCTAAAAACCCTATATCAAATGCTCTTACTAATCTTAAATTCAACCCATAATACTTACATAATTAACCAAATGTTATAATATATTAAGAGGGACTTAATTATGTAATTTAGTGTTCCTTAGAAAATTAATTTTTTAATTAAAAAGTCAAAGCAAAACCTTAAAAAACTGCATAAATTTATTCTTATAAATTTGTTGCTTAATTTAATCTATTCTCTATCAACTCTATATTTGTAAATGAAAAGTTTGACAATTTAAACGCAAATTATTATTTGTTATTCAAAGTTTTATGATCTTAAAATAACTTAAATAAATGTATAATGATTGCTGTTCGTATTTAATTCACTGGAACATAACTTTTTAATTTTGGTTTTTACTCAATCTTTTTTTATTATTTCCTTTAAAGTTTTTCCTATAATTCTAATAAATCATCATTTATTCCTTCTTCAATTATTTGATTATCTTCTTATTTATTTGGCACAATTTTCTTTAACTAATTTACTCTTTCAATAAAATCATCTTCATCTTAAATCGATTCTTAAGACATATCCTCTGATTCTTAGTTTACTTCAAAAGAATCCTCCATTATAAACCAAAATTGTAAATTAATTATATAAAAATTTTGGCTCTTTTTTAAAAAATGATAATAAAGAAGAAAAATTAAATGAAAATAAAATATTACAATTACAAAAAATTAGAATTTCTATTAGAGTACTATAATTTTTTAAAAGAAATTATATTATATTAAAGATAATTAATAACATGGGGAATAAACCTACTGTAAATTAAAATAAATTTCAAAGACAATAGACAACTAATGACAAATAATTTAAAAAAGACTAAAGCTAATCTAATGTTATTGCTCCTTATAGAGAAGGAACAACATTGGCTGTAGAAAGTAAATTAAAGGCATATTTAAAAAATGCTAATGATGGAGAAGATCTTGATGATGATAATTAAGGAGGAAGAAATAAATTATAATAATTTAAAGAAGACTAACATAATGTAGAAAATATTTAAAAGGAAATTATTCATTTAGAGGAAACAGTTTTTTCTAAAGAGAAATTGTAAAGAGTCCGAGAAGACTTTGAATCATATTCTAAAGAGAATAAAATGAGTAGGAAAAAGTTGTTAGAATATTTTGGAATGGCAGAGCTTGATAATAAAAGATTAGGAAATAGAATTTTCTAGTGTGTTAAATCAACATTCTCTTAAAAAAAAACAGGGTATATTAAATAATATTGATGTGATATAGACCTTTTTTAGATTATGCTAAATTTTTAAAAGCTATATCCATGCTTTCATAATAGAATGATGAAGGAAGGTTAAGATTTTTGTATTCCATGTTTGACATGAATTTAGAAGGTAGCATAGAAAAAGATGAAATGTATAATTTAATGATGATGTTTTTAGAAGTAATTCATGGAATAATTCATTAGGGCATGATGTCTATTAACTATGAGAATTAAGATTTGAATGATTTAAAATAAAGAATAAGTGAATCACATGACAGATAAATTGAACTTGCATTAGAAGAAATAGTTAATGAAATTTATTAAAATCATGCATCTAAACAAAATGTTTTGAGTTATGATGATTGGAGAAATTGGTTAATGGATTAAGAAGGTATTTCAGAAATTTTAAGCTTTAATCCTCATACAGATTTCTAAGATTGAGAAGATTCTTAATTAATTTTGAATAACCTTAATTATTATTATAAGATTTATATAATTATTACATTATCATATCATTATATTCAATAATTTTTTAATTTTTGAAGTATCTTCTTTCCATTAAGAATAATTATTTTTATATTAATTTAATCAGAAATTTATATTTATTATTTAGTATATTTATTATTATTTAATTAAAAAAAAATGTAAGAGATATTTTAGGGTCATGGTGATAAATCTATTAAATTTTATTAGGAAATGACATAAAATTAAGCTTAAATAGCATGGGAAGTTAAAAGAAAATTGTCTAAAAAATGTGCTTTCACTTTAAATAAATTGAAAGTTCCTGTCAGAAGTTCAAAGTGCAAGACATTAAAATGTGTTTATGAATTAGAAGTTATCCAATAACTTTTAAATAATTAGGAATAGTAAAATAAAAATGACCCATTTCAATGCATCTAATGTGGTGTTTAACTTAATAGATCAGATTTATTTTTTGATTCAGAATTAAATAAAGCTTTAAAGCTTCCAGGAGTCTGTTTTTTAAAAAATATCAATCAAGCCCAACCTTCATAAAATTAAACTTATCTAATAGTGAATAAATAAGATTAATAAGCAAAATAATCTGTAGATGTGTTAGATGAAAAATAATACTATCTAATTGAAAATTAGGAAAATCTATAACTCTTATAAATTTTAGCATTAAACATCTATAAATAGAGAATGGAAACCCTTTAGTGTCTAAGTAAATAAGACAGAGAATTAAATTTATAAAAGTTTGCTCAAGATGAGCTTAGTAAAGAAAAATCCAAAAATTATTGAATATGATATTCTATAAATTATTGGTTATATGAATTGTTATCAATTAATGATCTTTCATACTTTTTTTTTCTGATTTGATATTAAAAACTATTGTGGTAATCGAAGTTCAAAGAAAAATTTTGAATAAGCGTATTTAAAATATTTTATTTTCTATTAATGCAAACCTTTTGTGATTAAAATGAAATTTGTTAAATTTGCTTGGAAATTTAAAAATAACCTTCCCAAATCATAAGCTGTCAACATTAGTTTTGCATGTAGTGTTTAAAGGAATATTTTTAACAAAAAATTGATGATAAAAATATTGATGAGTTTACTTGTCCACTTTGTTCGAGCAATGTTGATGAAAAGTTTATTTTTGAAATAATTGATAAACCTCATCAAGAAAGATATTAGGAATATCAAAACGAAAAATTTTAATATTAAAACGAGAGAAGGGAGATGATAAAGTTTTATATTAAAAACAAAAAAACCCTTAGTTTATGTAGATGTCCTTGGTGTGAATAAATCTTTTATAAAGCTGATAGTGGATGTAATTACATAAGATGCCATTCAGTTGAATGTTAGGGAAAGAAAACATTTTGTTCTTAATGCGATGTCGGTTTAACTGATTTTGATCATGATAAGCATTATGAAAATAATAATCCATTCAAAGGGAAATGTAGAATATTAAGAGATGGTGTTTGGGTGGATAAATCTACAGTATTTAATTAAATTCTATGATTTTCTATCCAATTAATATTTCATAATTTCTATTAAACTCTAAAATAAATTAGTATATAAATAAATGTGTTATATATTTGAGGATCTCGATCTTGAAAAAATAATTCAATTGTTTTATTTATATAGATAAGTAATTAAGTTTTATAAGTATTAAGATCCTTAAATTATTAAGTTTTAAAAGGATTAAGATCCTTAAATTAAGTAATTAAAATTAAATAGAATTTTTATTGTAAAAAAAATATATTGGTTCAATCGAATACGATAATTAATTAAAAATAATGATTGATTCCTTATAAGTAATGAAAAACTTATGGAAATATTATCATTTAAATTTTGATTTAATAATGTTGAATTGTTTCACAGTTGAATTTGATTTAATCACAAAAGATTAAGTTTTTTTCCTGGATGATTTAATTTCATTTTAAAAGGATACTTTTTATTTACTCTAAATTTCATTTTAATCAATTTCTGGTGGCTAAGTCTAGATCTTTTCAAATTGAATAATATTTTTGGAGCTAAAAGAAGATCCAATTAATTTTTCTGTTTAATTTTGATTAATTTTCAAAGGATAATGTATATTTTATTGCAAATTATGATTCTTTGGACTCTAAATAGAAATTTGACTTCTAGGAGAGGAAGTACTCACAGTCAAAGTTTTAGACTATTTAATTCTTCTAGCAATTTATTGATTTTAAAATTAAGTTGATTTTTTCATAGACATGAATTTTAATTTAGCTAATTATTCTTAAATAAACCACTAATGATTAAGACATTGATGGGAAGATAATCTTTCTTCAGGATTTGGTTATAGGGTGGCAGTAATAAAATCAAGACCAAGTGAACTTAAATTAATTGAAGTGAAATCTACTTCAGCTTCAAGATTTTATTATAGTCTTATATCAGTGTTTCCATCAAAAGGTAATGTTCCAGTCATTAAAATGTATAAAATAACTCCTATACTAAATACATCAACTTTAAAATCATAATTTTAATGAAGTAAGATTTCAGGTGCAATAAATCCTGGTGTTCCACAACAGATATATTAATAGTTCACTTCTGGATCAAAGAAATCAGCCAATTAAAATTTGATTAAACAAAGTGTCTCAATATTACCATCAATTCTAAAAACAATATTATCAGGTTTTAAATCTCTATATATAATATTCTTTGAATGTAAATAACTGATTGTTTTGACCAATCTAAATATTATTTTAGCAGCCTGATCTTCTTAAAAACAATTCTCTCTAGCAATATAATCCATGAGAGTGCCTCCCATAATTAATTCTAAGATGACAAAGATTTAATCAGTATTTTCAAAGATTTCATATAATTTAATAGCAAATTCTGATTAAAGTCTTCGATGAACAGAAGTTCTTTTCAACAATGCAGCCTTATCAACTTCATCAATTAAACTTTATTTTTAATAAATTTTAACAGCATATTCATTTCCATCATATTTGTTTATACATTTATAAACCTAGATGGGAATATTAAAATTTTTACATCTGAAAATTGACCTTTACCGATTTTCTTTTTAATAATATATGTAGCATTGAAATCATATTGTATAGTATATGGTTTGAGATAGCGAAGCCATGATTTGGCATCACAAAAGATTTCAACAACATCGAAACATTTTATAAGTCTTAAAGCTGAACCAAATTTTGAATGATAAAATAAATCTATTATAGCATTTTCAATATCAATCCATTTAGTTTTACCCTATAAAAGGTAAAATAAATTAAACTACCTTTTTTGTTTCGTAAAATAAATAATTTTCTATACTGGAAAGTGTTTTATACTTTACTATACCTTATTTGTTTACAAATTTAACTTCATCACAAATTGTTTGGTTAATAATGGCTATAGGAATGGGAGTCTTAGACCATTGCATAGTTGAATAGGATATTTAAAAGAACGATTTGCTGTGTTTATACTCACAACTAAGGTTAGCTTGAAAATTAAATTTACTTGGGATTAAGATCCTTTATCATTCTAAATTGTTTCTTTATTAAATTAATTAACTAAATTTGATTGTATTTTATACTGATATTTAAAATTTACACACTTTAAAATCACTAGAGAATAATAATAATTAATTGATTATTAATACTAATAAAATATTATTGATTTAATAAGAGATTGAAAATAAATTTATATAATAATTTTTAATTGGAATTATCCATTTTGAAAATTGATTGACTGTGTTTAATTTGAAAGTGAAATGAATGTAAAAAGATAATGATATAAGATTAAGAAATACTTTATTTGATGATTCATTTGTGTATTTTATGTTATAAAAAAAATTAATTAAAATATAGAATAAGAATGGACGTATTTTTAATAATAATCTGCTGTGTAATAGCAGTTCTGCTTCTGGGAATCAACATTTATATACTAGCTTTATATTGTCATCGTATAGCATAAACCTGATATTAATTTAGCATCTGATTCTGGATTTGGAGCTTCTTTATTTTGTAAAATATTAGTAGTACTTGGTTTTACTTTAGCATGGGGACAAATCCTATTAGTGTCAGCAGATATATCAGCTTCAAAGTATTATGATTCAATCTGATTAGGGGTGTTTTCACTACTGAAGGAGATTCTATGATGATTGTCTGGTATGTTATATATTGTACTATTTTGGGAATGGTAGCATTTTTAATCCCATGTGCTTAATTTTATTATGAAAGTGATGAAGACAAGCCTTTAATGAAAAGATTATTAGAAGTTTTATGTTATGAATTCATATTATTGGGTGTGTTATTAACTTTATTATTGGTTGGATTTACATATCTTGGAACTGCTAGAATACCTGTTCATACAATTACTTAAACATTTAATAGTTAAGCTTCAGCTACATATCCTATTGTTTTGAACAATTATGATTTTTAATAAGTATTAAATAAATTTCAATTAGACTTAAAGTGACACAAATGTCGAAATTTCAGTGTCTTTTCCTGTATTTTTAATGGGCTTTATGGCATTTATAGGTTGGTTTTTATTGGTTTTGTTTGGAGGAGTAGGTCTTTCTGCTTTACCTATAGATTTGATTTCTGAATATATAAATAGACCTAAAGTCATTAAATCATCTGAAGCAATGGAAAAAAAAATGAGATTAAAAAAATAAGCTATAGAATTAATCTAATTTGGTTAATAAATTAAAGAAGAAGAAAAAGAATTAGCTTTAGTAAATGGATTTCTAGCAGAAAGAAAAGTTAAAAATTAAATTAAATCAAAAGCTAAAAAGTTTTAGGCTGCTACTGAAGCTCTTGAAAATGAATACTAAATATTTAAATTGGAATTACAATATTAAAATGTTAACCCTATTGTTTGGATATTCAAACTCATCATAGGAATTATTTTTATAATTTTGTCATTGTTATGGATTTTATAAATGTAATACTTATTTTGCTAATTTATAGATTATTGTATATGTTAATAAAAATTAATGGATTTCCTGCTTATAGTTTTTTGAATAAGATGTTCATATACTTAGAGGGAACTGTGATGTCATTCATTGGAACCATTTTATTAGCCTTATTCACCTTATATCTATTGGGTTGCACTTATAAGGGTAACTTGAAATTTGGATTAAGAATTCCTTTCCTTTTTACAATTTATCCTATGAAAGTAAATGAGACTTTTATGAACAGTTTCCTTTTCAATGCAAATCTATTACTAATTACTTCTGTTGCTGTTACTCAATTCAGTATTTAAGCTTTTTCAGAATATACTTAAAATTCGCAGATTGCTTTAATGTTTTTGGGCTAGATTTAATATTTATATTTCTTTACTTGGTTCTTTGATTATAATGTATTTGTAATAGCACTACTTTCTTGGACTGGATTAGTCTTAATTTATTTGCTTATAAGAAAACCACCCAAGCCTTATGCATTAATAGAAATTGAAAAGAGAAAGACAGGAGATCTTGAATTATAATCAAAATGAATGAATTTAACTTAGTTTTTATTTGTTTCTTGAAATATTTGGTTCTATTTGCTATAGACTTTATAAATTATCTATTTTATAAGCATTCTCGATTTTTTATGTTCTAATAAAAGATTTTAAGATGTTTGATTTATAATATATATTTAATTGCTCGAATTCGTATAAAATTAAGGATTCAAATTTATTAATAATTTTTAGTACCTTAAACTGAATAAATAAATATGAAGTTAAAAATAATGCTTAATCAATAATAAATAATTTTAGTCATGATTTATATAAGAAATATTGAAAAAATTCTAGCAAATGGTGATAAGAATCTAATATAAAATTCAGATATTAAAAAAATGAAAAATTAGAATAAATTAGAAATTCTTTCGATATACCCAAATGATAGTGATTCTGAAGAGATATATCCCCTATATGAGATAGTATAAACAAGAATTTTTGATACCGAAGACTTTTTATAATAAACATTGTACACTATAATCCGACAATGCTATGGGTATAGAAATTTAACTAGGATGTGGCCTAAATTATAATAATTACAGATAACTAAAAGTAAGTATGAAAACTATTATCAAAAAATAATCAATAATCGAATTTCAAGATTTCCTTAATTGAATTTGTAAGGTATTCAATAGATAGAAGGGAAACGATATAAGTTAGTATTATATTCTGAATTAATGTTCAAATTGCATCCCTAAAAAATGGTGTGTTGTATTTGTGAAAAAGAAATATTGCTAAGTATTGTAGAAGAACATTCACAATTATGTCTGAAAAAGCATATGCTTAATAAGGATATTTATGCATTATAGGATAAGATTTAAGAGCTTTCAGAGGAAATTAACAATAAGGAGATTGAACTTATAACTAAAATAAATTTGTATACAAAATAAAGGATGTCTGAGAAAAACTTAAGTCATTAAAATAGTCCAGTAATGAATAGAAGTAAATAACAACAAATAACACTTTCAAAATTTGCTCAATAAAGTGATCAAAGATAAAGAGGATTATAAAGAGCAAAAACAATAAATATTTCTGAAGACAATAGTATAAGTGAATTTCCAACATTTCATTAGAGAAAACCAGGAAGGAATTTCACTCGTTTAGAATCATCTATGAGTATGAGTCCAGATAGTCAAAAATAAATAAAATGTGCAATATCCTTACTGAAAGTCACTTAATAATATTGTTAAAAAATATTAAAATAAGATAATTCATTTGGTTTAGATATTGATGCAAAATTTCAATCATTAATAAAATTGGGGTTGCCTGAAATAAATCATTTAAATGACGTAAGTGATTTAATGAAGAAATCTTTAAGTTTAATAACTTAAAGATTAGAGTTAAATAAGTAGGTGAATAAAATAGATGTAGCATAAATATAATTATAATGTGGTTCGATAGAAAAATTAAAAAAAATATTTTAAAAAGGATTATCTAATTCATATAAATAGGCAGGAACTTCATTAAATAGCAGAAGTAAGAAAGGAGGAAATCAACATGTTGGAGGAAAAGTTAGGATTATGGATTTAGTTAAACCTAACAAATCTAAATTTAATCAGAGATAGTTTAAAGAAGATCAAGAGGAATGTTAATATTAAAATTAGTAAACTCCAATTTAAGAATAAAAGATAGATTCTTTAGAGTTTATTACATTTTCTCCATCAGAAGAGAATGCAAATTAGAATCCAAATAAATAATAATAATTAAATATTCATATTTATTCTTAATAAGAAGATGATGATAGTGATGATGTCTAATAAAATCTCTTTATTAGAGGCTATTATTCTGATTCAGGCATAACTTTAAGAATACCTTAATATACTTAAAAGATGTAATTTATTTTATAATATCATTAATTCTAGAATGACAGTAGGATTAAAAGATTTTGAATTTTAAGAAGTTTTAGGAGTGGGAGCATATGGAGCAGTTTGGAAGGTTAGAAAATTAAAAACAAATGATGTTTATGCAATGAAAGTGATAGATACTTAATAATAATCAAGTTAAAACTTTTTTGAAACTTTAAAAGCTGAAAGTACAATATTTTCAGTTTTAGAGGGAGATTTTGTAGCTAAAGCTTATTATTCATTTAGTCATTCAGATTGTTTATTTTATGTACTAGAATATGTAAAAGGAGGAGATTTTGATAGAATTTTAAGAAAATATGGAGCTTTAGATGAACCTATAGCTAAATTTTATATAGGAGAATTATTATTAGCAATTGAGGCTTTACACAAAAAGCAAATAATTCATAGGGATTTAAAACCATAAAATATTTTAGTTGATGGAAAAGGACATTTAAAATTAACAGATTTTGGATTATCAGAGATTGGAATGAAACTATATATGAAATAATCAGAACCAAGCTAAGCAATAAAATTATAATAATAATTAGATAATAATATAAAAGATTTAGTAAGTAGTGAACCAAAATCTCCAAGATTTGATCATTGTATTTCAATTAAAGCAAGCAATCATAATAAACATAGAGTTGTAGGTACTCCAGATTATATTGCTCCAGAAGTTATTAAAGGAGAATCTATAAATAATGAATCTATTGATTAATGGAGTTTAGGAGTAATCACTTACGAATTTTTGGTTGGAATCCCTCCTTTTAATGATGATACTCCTGAAAAAATATTTGAAAATATATTACAAAGAAATATTACTTGGCCAGAAATTGGAGATGGTGAAAATTAATTGAGTCTAACTGCTAAGGATTTTATAGAGAGATTATTGGATCCTAATTACAAAACTAGAATGACTGTTGAAGAAGCTAAACAACATTCTTTTTTTAATGGTTGTAAACTCATTTCTTAATTTAGATATTAATTTCGATACTCTTCGTAAATAATCAGCTCCAATCATTCCTGATAATGCACCTGATGATTAACCTTTATTATTAATTAAAAAATAAAGAGAAAAAGAAAAGTTAACTAAATTACTTCGTGATACTTCTAGTGAAAATTCCACTATTTCAAAATTAGGTGTTGACAACTTATTAAGACTTGATTTACTTGTAGAAATGAACTAATAAAAGGCACATTTATTAAGAAAAAAATATCATTGAAGTGTTGATGTATTTCTACAGAATTGTTTAAAGTGTTTTATTTTAGCGTATCAACTAAAATTATTTCTTTAACTTATAATGTAATAATAATAAATGAGGCCTTTAACATCTGCAAGTCCAAACAAACTTCCAATCTCAAATTTTGTGAGTGTTGATCGTGATAAAACTAGAGGTCAAACTTTTATTCCTTAATATACAAAAGTAGAGGAAGTACAATCGCCAAAAAATCTAAATACTTTAAATCCTACTTAATAAAATGAAATCTAAACACTTAAAAAACTTGTTATTTAATTAGATTCCAGACTAAATTCATAGAATGAAATTATTACTCAAATTAAAACTGAGCTTGAAAAAATGAAAGAGCTAAATTCAGAATTAATTGAAAAGTTAAAAACTGCAGCATCTCCACCTATCTCTAATATCAATAACCTTGATAGAAGAGCTATTGATGATCAAAAAAAAATTAAATAAGAAATCATGTAGTTGGGAAATAAATTTTCTGAAATGGTAATTTAAATTATAAATATTTTCAAGAAAGTCGATTATGAAACTAAGTAAATGTCATTAGAAGAAAAAGTACGCTCTATTTAAATTTCATTTGAAAATAGAATGAAGATATTCTTTGAATCTAAAATAGAATTCGAAGATATTTATAATTCAATCAATTAATTAGGTAACAATTTAAACGAATATAGCTAATGAGTTGAGTATCTTAAAAGAGAAAAGCGGATTCACTGATACAATCAATGAAATCTACCATGTAGATTAGAAAGGATACTTGATGGATTCGAAAAATAATTATTTACTTGATAAAGGATAAATGATAAGATTGAATGATAAATAAATATAGTATTTAAAGCAACATCATAAATTATTATGAAAAATTATGCAAATTTTTAATCTTTCTATTCTTTTTATGAATAGGTTTTTTAAAATGTTCATATTTACTCATTTGATTGAAGAATTAATGCTATTAAAGAATTTATTACTTAAATTTCTTTATTCAATCTAAATTTTGATGTTTATTTATTTTAATCTTTCATTTTAGACTAAATATATTCGAAATCTTAAGATTTTCTTAATACTTTTATAAATGAACATGAATAGTAGTAGTAGTGCATAAATTGTCTCAAGATATATTTTATAATTCTAGAAAAAAAGAATTTTAAATAGTTTGAATGTCATAAGAAGGGTTTATATCACTAATTAAATTTTCTTGATTTTTTAAACTAGCATTAAGAATTAATCAAAAATTATATTGAATTTCTTTATTTGACAACACAGTTGAGAAAATTTTTTAATAGTTACTTTTTAAATAACAAAGAATTATTTGAAAGAGAATTTCATTTATACATATTATAAATTAAGATTTAGATTTTCAAGACAATTCAATATCCATTTAATCTAAAAACTAAAAATAATCTAACTCTTATAAGTCTTGTTGATATAAAAGAATTTTCTGAGTACTTTTTAGCATTTCTTCAAATTTGGGATTTCCACATTGCTAAATCATACGAATTTCCTTCAATTTGCCTATCATTTTTAAAAAAATTTATTCTAAAAGAAATTCATTTTTCATAAGCATATAACTACTTTTTAGGTTGCTTAAATAATTTTTATAATTTTCCAAGTATACTTTGATTTTTAATCTATGTGAAAAAATACATAGAATTTCAACATTTGATTATTCTTTATCAATCACAATTAATGATGGAATTGTATCATAGATTTTCAAGATGATTGTTTATTTATATTGTAAGATAAGTTCTTCACTAATATTTTGATTGTCATCTAACAATAGGATTATTGGGCATGCTTAATGAGATACTAAAATTTCAATAAATAATTATTACTTAAATATTTAATGGATTAAGCAAGCATTTAGAAAAAATGACATAGTAATGATGTTTATGATTCTTTTAGTTGATCGAAACTTTTGTTTTTAGCTATTAATTAATATTATAAGTAATCTTCTTCTGATTCAAACATTTTAAATCTTTCTTCTATTTTCATTAAGTCAATTAAATCGTTTTAAAAAGTAGAGTAATCAGCTAGTTTTTTCGTTAAAGAAGCATATTTCTATTAAACATCATAAAAATACTTAAAGAGTATTTAAAGTTATTTCTCGAGGTAAATCATCTTTACTAATAGTTTTAATAATTTATTTCATTTCACAATGTTTTTAGAAATCTGATATATAATCTTGAATGATTTCGTTAAAGTCTTATTTGGCTTAAAAATAATTTTATACATCTTCATCTATATCCTTCAATTTTTGCTTAAGTATTGAACTTTATTAAAATTAACATTCTAGCTATTTAGAAAAAGACAAAATATTTTGTAATACCTCAGTCATATCAGTTAATTGATCTGCTTCTCTAATTATCCTATCATAATTATTTTAAAGTATTTCATATAGATTCTGATGAATGGTTTATTTAGTTAGAGTCAATCTATTCGGGATTTCATCAATTTAATGAGGATCTTGTTAGAGTATATTGAAAAAAATGGAGAAATCGACTTAAAAAGCCATTAATTTTGATAAATGAAAATGAATAAAAAAAAAGAAATGCTAGTTCGAATCTGTTTTTGAGAAAGTTTTAATAGAAAATAATTTTTTAATTTATATTAGTTGAGACATATTAAAATTAATAATACAAGATATTATGACAGGATATTGAATATTATTATAAATTTTATGTTAAAATAATCATTCTAAATCTATAATTAAATTAAAAATGCTTAGATTTGTAACTCGAAATCTCAATAGTGTCTATAAATTTTCAGAATTGTAAAAATTTGGAGCTTCTTTTCTTGGTTCTGGAAATGCAGAGTATTTAGAAAATCTGTTTGATTAATGGTACTTAGATAATAAATCAGTCCCAGCAAGTTGGGATTCTTATTTTAGATAAGTATTAGAATCGAACAATTTTGAATTCACTCCAGAACCCTAAAAAGGGTAGTCAGTTTCTGTTAGATTGGATGTATTAAAATGTATATGAAAATAGGGATAATCAGGAGTTAGGAAATTATTGAGTGATCATTTCAGAGTGTTGTTGTTAATAAATAAGTATAGACATAGAGGTCATGAGAAATCATAGGTGGATCCTTTAGATTTAGAACATATCTAATAAATAGGAAAAGTGAAAGGATATACAAAATTGGATTACAGCGAATATTTTACAGAGTAGGATTTAGAAAGAGAATTTTACATCCATGCAATAGGAAGTACAGGAATAACAAAAGACAAATAGAGTAAAAGATATAAATAGTGATTAGTGATGAAATTGAGAGACTTAATAAATTACTTAGAGAAGGCATATTGTGGTAAAATATCGTATGAGTATATGCATATATAATCACAAGAGGAAAGAGATTGGTTTAGAGAGTAAATAGAGAAGTATGATGAGTTTATGCCGAGTAAAGAATAGAAATTGAAAACATTTTAGAGGTATGAATTGATTTAAGTTGAATGATAGATTAGGATAGGAACATGCATTTAGCACATTTTTGTAGAAGAAATTTAATACATCAAAGAGATTTGGAATAGAAGGATGTGATTCAATGATATCTGGATTATAATCATTAATAGATGCAGCAGCTGGAGCTGGAGCAGAACATGTAGTATTTGGAATGGCGCATAGAGGAAGATTAAATACATTATATAATGTATTTTAGAAGTCAGCAGAAGAAATAATGGTTGAATTCTAAGATCTAAAGAGTACTTTTAACGAAGATATATGGGGAAATTCAGGAGATGTTAAATATCATTTAGGTTCAGTTCATAATGTACTTTTTGGAGATAAGAAATTAAGATTAGAGATGTTACCTAATCCATCTCATTTAGAAACAGTTGATCCATGTGTATATGGAAAGGTTAGAGCTATTTAAGATTACTTTTAAGACACAAAGAGAGAAAAAGCATTTGGTGTAGTAATTCATGGAGATGCTGCTGTATCTGGTTAAGGAATAGTATATGAATCACTTTAGATGGCAGATTTAGAAGGTTATAAATCAGGTGGTATTATTCATGTAGTTTCAAATAATTAAATTGGATTTACTACAGTTCCTAAAGATAGTAGATCAGGATTATATTGTACAGATATAGCACATGCAATTCAAGCACCTGTTATACATGTCAATGCAGATGAACCTGAATTAGTTGATAAAGTATTTAAAATAGCAACAGAATATAGATATAAGTTTAAGAGAGATATCTTTATTGATTTAGTTGGATATAGAAGATATGGTCATAATGAATAAGATTAACCTAAATTTACATAACCTATTATGTATGAAAAAATCGATAAGGCTCCTCCTGTCTTTATAAAATATAGTGAAAAACTAATAGCTTAAGGGATTGTAACTAAAGAATATGTAGATTAATTGATGAAAACTCATGAAAACAATCTTGAATTAGCATATCAAAAATCTAGATAAATGGATTATAATCTTAAAGATTGGTAACCTGTTCCTTGGGAAATGATTAAGGTTCCAATTCTATGGGGAAGAATCAAAGATACTGGTGTTCCTTTGAATATTTTAAAAACACTTGGTGAAAAAATTAATAAAATCCCTAATGAATTTAATGCTCATCCTTAGATTAGAAAATTTTATGAGGAAAGATTATCATGGATTCAAAAGGATTAACCAATTGATTTTGCCACTGCTGAAGCTTTGGCATTTGGAACACTTCTTCATGAAGGATTTAACATTAGACTTTCTGGAGAAGATGTATAAAGAGCTACATTTTCTCATAGACATGCTGTTCTTCATGACCAAAAAGATCCTAATGGTTAAGATTATGTACCATTACATAATATTATACCTAAAGGATAAGAACATAGACTAAATATTTATAACTCTCATCTGTCTGAATATGGAGTTCTAGGATTTGACTATGGATATTCTATTACTAATCCTAATACATTAGTCTTATGGGAAGCACAATTTGGAGATTTTGCAAATGGAGCATAAATTGTTATTGATAATTATATAGCTAGTGCTGAATCTAAATGGGATGTTGATAGTGGATTGGTTATGTTATTACCTAATGGAATGGATGGATAAGGACCAGAACATAGTTCAGGAAGAGTTGAAAGATTTTTATAATTAAGTGATGATGATCCTGCTGTTTTCTAAAAAAATCTAGGAGGTATCTTAATTATTTAAATCTTCTAGTCAGATTAACTAGATAAATGAGAAATTCTAATATGCAAATTGTCTAATGTACTACTCCCGCTAATTATTTCCATGCTCTCAGAAGATAATTAAGAAGAGATTTCAGAAAACCTTTAATTGCTATGACATCAAAAAGACTTTTGAGATTACAAGCTGCCAAATCTAAGCTCACTGAACTTACTTCTCAATTCAATTAAGTTTATGATGAAGCTTTTTCTGAATTCCTTGTAGAACCAAATCAAATTAAAAGAGTTATTCTATGTTCAGGATAAATCTATTATGATCTCATCAAAAAAAGAGAAGATCTTAAATAAAATGTATATCTATATTATAATTTATTCAGAATATTGCCATCCTTAGAATTGAATAGTTAGCTCCGTTTCCTTATGAATTTTTACAAAAAATTATTGGTAAATATAATCAAGCTGAATTTGTTTGGGTTTAAGAAGAGCATATGAATTATGGACCTTGGGCATTTGTAAGACCAAGAATACAAAGTGTATTAGCTAAAACTAACAACATTTCAAATTCAACTATCTAATATATTGGTAGAAGACCAAGTGGATCACCAGCTACTGGTTTTCATTAATTACATGATAAGGAGATCTAAACACTATTACAAAAGGCGTTTGAAATTTGAAAAATTATGTTATTATTCAATTCTTGTATATTATTTACGATTTTCAATAAATAAAATACATCTCATAAATGAAAATATCAAAGACAAAAAAGCATTCCATAATTTTATTATTTTAATGCTAACAGAAGATATTGTTTTCTATTCAATAGCCACCACAATCCTTTTCTTCTATGTCTTGTACTTGATATGGGAATACTCAGCAAAAGATGTACCTTTATATATCAAGATATTTACCTTTATTTCTTGGATATTAACATTTTCAATTGTCTTAGTTCTACCTATTGACATCACTAATGTTATTTTACTATTATAAAATATTAGTCAACCAAATAACACAATGAAACTTAATAAGTAGAAACAATGGGGAATATTAAAATATTATGGAGAATAATGTATTGGGGAAACTTTTTCTTAGCTTGGTATAAATTGTGAATATTCAGGTTGGTATTGCCATTTTTTTAAGATTATGAAAGTGCTGGAGATTTTGATATCAGAGGAAAAATACGATACTCTTTAAAAAAGAATTTAACAATTTATGGAGTAGGAACAATAATAATTGTAGGACTTGCAATTTATTTATTGATTAAAGATAATTTTGATGCAACTCATGTAGAAGGGGTTCTTATTGGTGTAAGCAACTTTTTGTAATTGATTATATTTATCATTAGTGGATTACTTTTAGTTGTGATCTTATTGGGACAAGGTTTAGTAGCAATTCCAAAATTATATTATAGAGAACATAAAGAGGAAGATGTTCTAGAATAATGCTATTAATAAGCTGTTCTTTTGGATGAATAAAGAACAGAGAAAACATATGAACTTGAAGACATATGTAGGGTTGTAATATTTAAAACTAATGAATTTAGACCCTTCAATTATTATAAAATGAATATTCTGATAGTGAATTCAGCAGATATTTAATGATCATTTTACAAAAGATTCCCTAAGAATTCTAAAAGAGTATTCGATCAAGTTTATAAAAATACAATGCTTCTAATATACCAGATAAATACAAACCATTAAATCTAGAGATTTTGGCATCCATACATAAATATGTAAAATGTCTTATGTTTGATTTATAAAGAATTCAAACAAAACTCAATATTTTTAATTAAAAAGCATTAAAATTTGAAAGGAAAGATATATAAGATGATGAAACCTAATTTGAAACCAAATTTTCAAAAATTATATATAAGATTTCTATAATATGGAATTTAAAGCTTAGAAAATATTACTGTGTTATATTAGCAATAACTTATGCACTTCTCTCTCTATTCATACTGTTTTGCGAGTTAATAACTTTTGTAGCAAAAAATAATAAAGATTTAAATCCCTATTATTTACTATTATCATCAATTGATAGATATTATATAACAGAACTTGTTTTGTTATTACCTTTATTATATATGATGTTTTGCACTTATTATGGATTATTTGCTATGAAAATCTCAGGATTAATCTCTTTTAATAAACATCATCATACAGATGCGCCAAGCTTGATGTTTGGTTCCATGTATTTTTATTTCATATCCTTAAAGTAACTTTGCTAGAGTAAGTTTTCCATTGTGTTTCAATTTCATTTAAATTACAGATATCCTTGAAGATTAAGCTACTTCTTTTAGTGAAACTGTTGGTAATCTAGCAGAATCTCTTTTTGTTCAAAGTTACAAAACAATATTGCCCTTAATGTTAATAATTATGTGCTTTTTCAATCTATTTAATATTGGAGATAAATTAATGAGAACCATAGGTTTAGGATAATATGCCTAATAAGAAAGAATTTCAGGTATGAGTTTAGAAGGAAAAAAAATCTTAGAAAAAGGTATTTATAACTTATAATTATTTCTATTAGAAAGAGAATTAAGAAAAAAAAACAATCTAAATGATAGCAATTCTTAAATTGTATTTTAAGAATTATAAATTATGCCTAAAACAAAAATTCAAGATGAAGAAGAAACCTCAAGGAAAAATACAACAAATTAAGGAATAAGAAATTTTGATTAAATTCTAAGTATATGAATTATATTTAATTTTACTTTAAATTTATATGAATTTTTATGATAAATTGATAAAAAATAACCTTCGAACAGAATTCTAAAACTAAAAAATATACTTGAAAGTTTGGCTACCACTGCCAAATATTATTTTTTTTGTCATTTAACTATAATTGAAAATTTCTTTATTATGGCAAAGATAACTATTTTTGGTTTCCTAATCATAAAGAGGCTTAATTATATAATTAAGGGCAGTTAAGACTAAAATAAATAAACACTTTACATAATTCATTTATTCAAATGTTTGTTTTATTTGGGACTAGAAAATATTCAGGTTGTTCTATAAAAAATATTTCATTTTTTTTATTCCTCCATTTGCCAAATCAAAAGTATTAATTTCCCTTTTCAATTAATATACAAATTTGGGATACTCTCTAGATAAAATTAATTAATTAATTCTAACCATAAAATTGAGCAAAAAAGACTAAACATTCCTAAAATAGAAATAATGACTAAAAATTACCCAGAAAAATGAGTTCCCTGTAATTATATCTATCTTAAAGTAAAGAAGGCAATTCTTCAATTGAGGCAGAAGTTTCAACTTAAAGAGAACTATTAGAAAATTTAATTCTAAAAACTTATTTACTTTTAATGAATCTTTCATTATGCATATAATTTCCTTCTAATAAAAAGAGGAAATTCATACCCTACTCCATAACTTACAAAATAGACTGTTAGCTATACTTTAAATAGAAAATTACTATAGACTCATTAACTCCAAGCCTTGTTTTTTCTTTAGAGCATATATAAAGTCATTTTTCAATTTATTTA